ATTCACAAGCCTGCATTGTGATAATCTTGTTCCTAAAGCAAAAAGGGGTGGTGTGGGGGTGGGCAGGACACAGAGCCACTTCGGCTATCAGTGACGAGAGAAAGGAAGTGCTACAATTAAGCTGGGAGAACAAAACTAATCAGAGCGCCAGGATTCATCCAACTTGTCTCTGGAGGCCTTGCCTCAATCCACTCATCCCCAGGGAGGAGAAAGGAAGGTGGGAGGGGGACCGTCTAATTCATTTTCAACAATAAGACCCACAATGCTGAACCCATTTTAGATACTAACCTAATAACTCTAGGCTCGGAGACTCTGCTTGTCCCATAAAAATGCAGTGGAATTGAAATGCAAGCCCTAAAATCATGTTATACTTCCTCTCCACCACTACATATTGAAAATGAAGGAGCGGGGGAGGGCACAGATTCAAAAGGACATGCAGATTCTCTGGCGCTGGGATCCTCCAGGAGAAAGCCAACTCTGGAGCAGAAAGGTGACAGCCAAATCCAGCAGTGGCAAATTCCAACATAATCTTTGGTTTCGGGTGTAATCAACATTCCCCCTTCCAAATCAGAGCTGAGGGGGCAGGGCCAGGGAAAGGGGACAGTTGCTGTAAGGTGGCCAGATTGAGCATTTCTGCCATCTTGCTAGTGACGGCTTGCACCCAGATGCCATCTGGCGATGTGCACGGGGAGAGAGCTGTGCGCACACTTACCCCTAAGCAGGGGTGGGATGAAAGGCCAAGTCCATCCCAATTAACACATTCATTCAATTTGCTATTAGCTTCTTCATCTGCTCTGGAGAGAAATGGGCCAGGGAAAACCCCGAGGGCCTCTTTCGTACACTAATCCTTTAGGGACCTAAAGCAGGAAGATGCCTGGAAACTGATGCTTGCCTGTGTCTTGAGCTGCCCGTGTGATGCTGGCAGGGCCCTTTGCTACCCCGTTCCTCTGCCTGGAAAATGGACTAATCAGCCTGATTGACCTCACTGGGCAGGTAGAGGCTAACTCACAGCTAAGGCGTACTCTGAGCACCGAGTACCTCTGCAAGAAGGTGCAGATATCCTGGTGTCGTTTTCAAATCGCCACTACTGGAAGGGAAATCACGGCAAGGATCGTAAGAACAGAACCTCCAGCCCGCAGAATGAGTTTGCATCCCGTCTCTTCCCTCCCACTGTTGCAGTAACAAATCAGGTGCTGGAGGAGAGCTGCACTGAAACACATCTCCAGTGCTGAGGGACCAAATGGAATGTTTTACTGCATCAAATAAGGCCCAATAATGTCCTCAGGCACTTCCAAATGGTTGTAAAATATCCTAGGAGGGCAAAGCAGGTTTTGTAGGCTCCTCAACGCCTCCCCAAAGGGCAACTGCTTGACGGGGAAAAGTCTTCCAACCAAAAAGCGGAACTAGGTCATGGTCTTTTGGAAGAGAGGCTGACAGAACCTTCTACCTAGAGAGCTACCAGAAACAAGCAAGAGAACAGTAAGCCCACCTCAGTGGAGAGGCCCATGGACATCTAGCTGGTGCATGTATGAAGTAGGAGTGGCCCTCGGGGGGTGAGCCCCGGCACCACGTCCAGGGAGACCATTCCCTGAAACCAGGCCACGCTTCCCAGCGCCTTCCCTGGGCTTCCCTCAGAGTGGGGAGGAGTTGGCCACTGCCCTCTCTTCCATGTGTTTTCTATCCTGCCGTGCTGCTGCACCTTGCTAATCCTTGCTTCCACCCTGTGCCCACCCCCCTTTCTTCTCCTGCCCCACTCCAGCCTCTGTCGCCCTTCAGCAACAGCAACAATAGAAGATTCTGGAGCTGGGGAGCCAGTGCGCTGCCTCTTATGTCAGGGCGGAGGATGCTGCAGCGGTCAGGGTCCAGTCTGCAAAGCAGGCGGAGCCACTTGGCTTGAGCGACCGTGGTCACAGAAGGCCTGAACGCATGAACCACACAGCAGCAACAGAAACTGTTCAGAGGCGGCTGACCAGAGGTCACCAGGGAGGCTGTGGCCATTTGTTTTAATTGTGGGAGACGCCTTTCATGCATACGCAGTCTTGCCCTGTGATTTATCACTTCCCCGGGTGTTTTAAGTGTTCTACTTCACTTCGCCAGCCCTGCGTCTCCAAGGGGAGTCCGCGCAAATTGAAGATGACATTGGACTTTTATGTCTTCCTGATTCAAGAGGCAGCTATGGCTTCAGAGTACTGTCAGGACTCCTCATTCCTACTCCTCCACCAGCGCAAACCACAGCCGGATCTTGAAGGCTCAAACCATTTTACTAATAAAACAAGCATTCTAAGCTCCATGACCCCCATGATTCTCATCTGTCGATTTCCTTTGAAATCCCATGCTTCCTTGGAGATCAGGGGCCCAAAACTGATGACAAGTCTGCAGGCACTCAGATCCGCTCAGGATCAGGGGAGTGAAACCTGTCCCTTGAGAGGAGATGAAAGCAAGACCCTGAAGTGTGCAAGCTCCCGGACTGCATTTTCGCCTCCCAAGTGTGCAGCACAGCTGGCCACTGCTCACCTCATTAGCACTGTGGCTCTGAAGCCTATGACACCTGTGTCCCCCTCACCCCAGTCTCACTGCTAGACCTCGCTTCCTCACTTGCAAGACTCAGAGGCCAGGAATACGTGTCACTGTCGCTCTCCCTGAGAATGAATGAGTCTCGGTTCGGGGGTGGGGGAGACGGCTTTTGATCACTACGTGCCAATCTGGGTCACGCGCAAATGCCAAACCAACTGCACTGATTGTCAGCTGAGGGGGAAAATGTGGGGAGTTAAGATCAGCAGGAGGGGCAAAATACACCCTTGCAAACTCAAATCAGATAGTAAAAGAACCAGGGAAGTTAATTCTGGCTTTTTCTAAGTTTTTACCTCCAAATATACAGAAATTAATTGCTGAAGTCTTATGGTGAGCTATTTCCTGTGTATTACCTCATTTACTGCTCAAAACAATCCTGGGGGTTAAGGACAGTTTCATTCACTTTTTATAGTAGGTGAGGACACTGGGCTTTAAGAGAAAGTAAGAATTATGGAGAAAGTAAGTGGCAAAGCAGTGGTAAGCTCAGTTAACCAGACCAGACAGCCTCTTGGCATTTCTAAGGGAACATGGTAACCCCTGAACCAAAGGGTAAACCCCTGGAAATTAGCACCCCCGAGGGTACTGCGCAGACAGTGTCAGACACAGAAGCCTCAGTCAGAAGAGCACTGAAGGCGATGAGGAGGAGGAACGTGCCCGGATCACAGTAGGTAGGTAGGCAGACCCATTCTTTTCTTGAAGAAATCAATGATCAGAAAACATTAAAAACAAAACAAAAAGCAGGGCAGGCTGCTTTGAACCAAGACTCAGGAGTGAAACTCTGTAGTTCGCCACTAGCCTTCCACATCCCGGACTTTGCAGATGGAGCTCTGCCCTTTACATTCTCGGTGGTCTCACTTCCAAAGCCCACCGTGGTGTTTCCTCTTCAGTTAGGCTCACTTTGGCCCAGACGGGAGCAGGCACAAGCCCAGAGCTACCTCTGAACAGGCAGGTGGCTGCTCGACAAGTGTGGTCACTGGCCCCAGGGACTACCGAAGTCCAGGCAATGGAAAGGGTATCAAACTTCAGGTGTAGCAAAACCTCCATTATTTCATCTAGTGATCCTGAGATAAGTCCAGCTGTATTAAAAGCCAAGTACATGCTTTTATTAACCCTCGAGTAATCAGAATCCTTGATTAATTGGAACATGGCAGCCTGCTTTGAAAACAAGTTCACATCAAGATTTTTTTTAAAAAAAAAGGCTTCTGTGAATGTCCTAGGAGCAGTACAAATTTGACTACAAATCAAACCTCATTTGTGTATAATAAGAGCTCAGTGAGAACCGACGGTCAAAATCAGGCCCCTGAAGAATCTAATCGTTCTGAATCATTACAGAAAGAAGAAAGATGAAATCGTCTCAAGGTGGAATGGTAGGGTCATATGCAGGCATAGCTGACAGCACGGGCTGAGACAGGAAGGGACTTTCTGCTGGGCCCGGTGCCAGCCACAAAGTCCAGGAAACCACGGTGGATCCACCCCATGGTCTTCTGGGCACCACGGGGTCATGAGAACAGATAATCCCCCTGGCCTGCCTAATTCCGGGGTTCGGTCATATCGCCCTGCTCAGAACATACACGGCTTGGTGTTGGGGCGTTTGATGTCAACGTGTGGTATGAAAGCCGAAGAAACAGGAGCCTGCTAACTCAAAGCATCACACACAAATCAGGGTTCATGCTATGGGATCTTGGAGCTACTGACAGATAGAATCCATCTTGTAATGCGATCCATCTGGGACTTTAATAGCGAACCTCTCTTGCTTGGATAATAACCGCAAATAAGATCTATCTTACGCCAGATCTCGCTTTTTGGTAGAAAGCTTCCAATGTGGGGCGCCTGGGTGGCTCAGTGGGTTAAAGCCTCTGCCTTCGGCTCAAGTCATGATCTCAGGGTCCTGGGATCGAGCCCCGCATCGGGCTCTCTGCTCGGCAGGGAGCCTGCTTCCCTTCTTCTCTCTCTGCCTGCCTCTCTGCCTACTTGTAAACTCTGTCTGTCAAATAAATAAATAAAATCTTAAAAAAAAGAAAAAAAAAAGAAAGCTTCCAACGAGCTTATTTTATTCTAATAGCAGAAACTGTGCTGAGGACACCAAAGGACATGTCCTATGTGACTGTCGGGTGTCAGTGGGCTCACTGGCTTTCATACCGCTGGGGATCAGGAGCACAGGGAGGGTGTTGTGTTATTCTGGGCACTAAAATGCTCCCCACTGCCGAGGCATGTTGGGAGGATGACGAAGCACTGCAGAAGGAAAGCAGTAATCATTCCACTAATTCACTCAACAACCACTGACTCTGCTCATGAGCTGGGTGCCGGTGGCTGTCCCAAAGTGAGTTCGTGCTGGCCACAGCTCTACCCCAGGCTATGGTGGAGCTGAAGCAGAGATGGCCTTTATAGTGCCGAAGGACAGACAGTCCAATTGGACTACAGATCAGACTGCTGTGCTGGTGGTTTGCTTGACTTGGAAAGAAAGAGGATGTGTACAGAAAGGGGAGGCTCTAACAGAAAATGAGGGAGTGTGGGCAGCCCCTTCGTTCCACCACCAGAAGTGGCCTGCTATGACCATGGGTCTTCGGAAACTGTCACCACATGATAGTCTTGATCTGGAGTTAAAGATGCCCCAATTTATCCCATTTCCATGCTTGGGCTATTTGTCTAAGGACTACACCACTGAGACAAAGGACTTTTAGACAGACCTCACTGGACAAGAAGCCATGACCATCCCCAGCCCAACGATAACACAAGATGTGAAGGACAGCCGGTCCTACAGCCCCATGACATGCTCTTCAGAACGAGGCAGCCTTCTGGACCCCTGGAGGCTGGTCTGGCCCCACAGGGTGGACGCCTGCTCTCAGACTCAAAGCATGCTGCGGCCAGTACCCAGGTACCACCTGCCCTCGGGAGGGCTCGGCATGGCCCAGGGACAGAGACAGGCAAGCTCATGCATGGGTTAGTATCACAGAGGGTAGTACCATCACCACATACAGAGTACCTGGGAATAACCTACTTTGAGGGCTCAAATGCAGATAGGTCTTCTGCCTTGGGCTTGAGGCTAAACCAGCAAAATAAAATGAAGAAAAACAAAAACATACCCTGTGATATCAACAATGCCACATGTGCCATTTGCAAAATGCTCAGACAGGCCTGAAATTGTGACAAGTGACTTCATTTGTTTGTGTTTATGGCTGGGAAACAGGTCTCTCCGGCTTTCAGCACTCCAGGTTCCCGTGGCTGAGGGCCCAGCTCACCGCAGCAGCTGCAAAGATGAGACTGCTTCGGGTGCCCAGATGGGGGAACCGGGGGCTGGGGAGGGGACGGTGCTGGGGTAGCTCCTTCAAGGGCGGACTGGCTCACTGGCCCAGGGGTCATTTTACCTCTAGGCTCCCCGGGTGAGGCCTCACGTGACCTCTCCTTCTGCTAACTGTTTAATAATTTCATTTCGGAAGGGAAACCCAGTAAATGACGGGAGCAGAGGAAAGCAGAATGTGCACTGGGGTAGTCTTTCCTTTTCGGTTATGCTAGTAAAAGGAATTCTCTACAGGGTGCCAATACTAAACTGGAGTTCAGAGAGAGAATTCCAGGCTCCTGACTGTACCCATCAACAATGTCAAGGAGGTAAGGAGCCCTTGGGAGTTTTCAGATACAGCTCAACTATTGAAAACAGATACTCCTGGGGCGCTTGGGTGGCTCAGTAGGTTAAGCATCCGCCTTTGGCTCAGGTCTTGATACCCGAGTCCTGGGATCAAGCCCCACAGCAGGCTCCCTGCTCGGCAGGGAGCCTGCTTCCCCCTCTCCTTGCCTGCTTCTCTGCCTACTTGTGATCTCTGTCTGTCAAATAAACAAAATCTTAAAAAAAAAAAAAATTAAAAAAAAATTCAGGATTTAGGGGGCACCTGGGTGATTCAGTGGGTTACAGCCTCTGCCTTCGGCTCAGGTCATGATCCCAGGGTGCTGGGATCGAACCCCGCATCGGGATCTCTGCTCAGCAGGGAGCCTGCTTCCCCCCACCTCCAGCCCGCCTGCCTCTCTGCCTACTTGTGATCTCTGTCTGTCAAATAAATAAAGTCTTAAAAAAAAAAATCAGGATTTGGTTTCTTTAAAACAAGAACAGAATTTTTTTTATAGTCCTTGCGTTTAAAAACCCAAAAAGACCATTCTCAACAGCCTCTGTTTCGTTTTGCTTTCTCAAGAAGTAAGGCAACTCCCTGGGCAGAACTCCCCTTGGCTTAAAAGACAGAATCGCTTTACTGCTAAATGATGGATCAAAACCCATCTCATAACAGTGATTCATTTCATCTGAGCTTTTAACACAGGCTCCCCTTCCATCAAGCCAATGGGTTCACAGTCATTGGTGGATTAAATTCCCTTTCTGGCATGAGTTAAAAAATTTCCTCAAGTACATATAAAAAATGGTAACAGTCTAATGACTCGGCTGCTCAGGAAACCAGATGCCAACCTCACATTTCATTAACAACCGTCCTGATCGGAGAAGGACTGGAGACTCGATACCTTTTTGATGGTATTGTGCTTGCTGCTGGTGCCACCCCGGTCGGAGTTCTCGTTGTGCAGAATATCCAAAGCTGTCTCCCTCTCTTTGAGTTTCAGGGCCTCGATCTCAGTCTTGAGTTCATTGAGCTGTTCCTGCAAATGCTTGCTCTTCTCCATGTACTCCACTCTGTCAGCAAAAGGACAGTGTGTGTCACAGCTTTTGGTGGCCCTGAGACATGGGATCCAGGGCCCCATGCAGCCCAGGGTCCACGTCTCTGCCCAGCCACTCCCAGGCTGAGGGAGCCTGGGCCCATCACCTAAAAGGTCTGAATCTGTTTCCTCAGGGTAATGCTCACAGAGCTATGGTCAGAATTAAGTAAAAGCAAGTGCAGGAAAGGCCCCTGGTAAACTCTTCATAAAGTAGTCTCTACAAATACCCATGACTGCAGAGAGCTTTGAGTTCTGCACAAGCAACGACACATGAATCAACACTCCCGGCAACCAAGACAATTTCCTTGTCTCAGTCCTGCTCTGATAAGTGATTCTGTTCAAGTGACCTCTTCCGATAGGCCCTGGCCACATCCCTACTTGTTTTGCGATGTCATCTCCTAAAGAGGGTGCAACCCCAGGAAGAAAAAGATCCCCGCCATCGCCTGCAAGTAGATACTCTGTATCTGTGATGGTGAAAATCTGGAAATCATCCTCAAAGTGTCTGCCTTCAAGGGCATCCGGAAAACCACGCAACACAAACACAGGAACTTTCTATAGCGATGCCCATGGCTGGTATGTGGCTTCTGTCATGTGCACGGGTAATAAGAAAACACAACGTATAAAAAAACAGGACTCAACAGAAAGTAGCCTCACCCTGCTCACAACCACGAAATGCTCACTGTGCCTGGTCAACGGAGAAAGGCTGGAAGGGCAACTCGGACAGCAGATACCACAGATAAAGAGGCTGTGGCTGCTCAGCCTGGGCTCCAAGGAGACACTGTCCCGAGAGAGCAAGCCCAGGGATACTGGACAAGGTGAGAGCCTCACACAGGCCTCACACAGAGACTCACATGGGCTTGGAGCTGAATCCTCGTTCTGCCCCTCACCAGCCCTGTGATGCTGGATGAGCTCATTAAACACTGTAGATCTCATTTATAAATGTCACACTAAAACCTACCTCTGATGTCAGCTTGATGTTCGTTAGCAGGAATGAAATGAGACAATGCTAGAAAGCCCCGCCACCCAGGCACTCTGTACATGGTTCTCCAGCAAGCTGTGGCACAAGCGGCCAACTTGGGGGTACAGCTCAGTGGTAGAGCATTTGACTGCACAAGCGGCCAATTTACCTACGGCTGGGAACTGGGGGAACTGCAGCCGGATTTCTTCTGCAGCGAGACTCCTTGCTTGCCTCAGTTCCACCAACCGGGAAAGGAAGGAGGAGCGCACAGCAGAAACCGCTACGAGCAGGGCAGGCAGGGCTCAGCTCAGGGCTACCCCAAGCAGCAGGGCTAGCCTGACCCAGATGTTTGCTCTCCTCCGACCTTGAACCCGAGTCTCTTCCCTGACCCTCATTCTAGACCTGGGAAGTGCCGCCCGCGCCTGTCTTAAGTGCCAGAGAAGACAACCAGGAAACCTGATCTGTTCCGTGCTCGGACATTATCACAGGTTCTACCTCCGTGCGAACAGCAGTCTGACTGACTTGGAGATCCCTGACAAGCAGTCCTAGACTGTAGATGAGGTTTCAAACCGCCATAAACTCCAGGTCACCAATCAAGGATCATTGTTAGCCTGCAAGACTGAATGCTGGCGTGATGTCCTTCACTTCTGATGAGGAAATTCTTCCTTCAGAGGGTAGGAACAGAGCAACCCCTGCAGGGCTAGTGACAGGCTCTTACAGTGACCCTCCACATTCTCCAGGTCCAGATGGCCCCACTCTAGCTGGGGAGGGTACAAGGTCAGGGGGGACTACGTACTTTTCTTTCTCTATCTCCATGGAAAGCCGCTTCATGTCAGTATCCTTGAAGTCGAAAGACAGGCTGTCACCAATGAGGTTGAAGCTTGGTATATCAGGAGGCAGTGGTGCTGGAATTGGGTTCATGGGCTATGAATGAGAAATCTCCAGTTAGGAGGGCCAGGTTCTATGAGAACTGGGCCACTGCTGTGTTTACCATCCCCCTCCAGCATCCACAGAGGCAATGGGCATAGCTTGGGTCCTGCCTCCCACCCAGCACCACCATGGCCTCAGGTCACCACTGTCACTCATTTCTCCTCCTCCAATCTACCCATGTTGGCTGCTGCCAGATGATAGACCCCAAAGATCTCAGATCCAGGTAAATCATTCCCTTCCTCTCCCCTCAAACCTTTAACAGCTCTTTGTGCTCAGCCAAATTGAAAAACAAACTCCTACTCACTTCTTCGTTGAGGAAGACCCCGGGCTAGGAGCTAGAGATGCAGAGAACAAGACAGAGTCCCTAGCTTGGAACAGCTGAAAGTATTATCCGGTAAACAGAGGGTGCTCATAGACCATCATGGTTAGGTAAGAGAGATGCTGTAGCCAGAGAGTAAACAGTGGCCAAGGGAGCTGGAGAAGGCTTGCTAGAAGAGATGCTGCTTCTGCTGGCACCAGATGATGTGCCAGAGGAAAAAGCTTAACCGGCAAGAGGCATGGAACTGGGCAGCGCAGAGAAGGCTCAGTGAGAACGCTGACGGAGGCGGGTGGGAGACAGAACCAGACCCTAAGGAGCTACCCTGCATGGTGAGGGGCTTGGGTTCAGATGGAGACAGAGGAGGGTTTGAAGCAGAGGATGAAGGGATTATGAGGACTTTCTCATCCCAAAACAAAGGGTCATCTCAAATATGGCCCCAATCTAGTCTAGCTTTTCCTAGGAACTGCTTGCCCTAACAAAACATGAACAGTACCATTTCTGTTCCTTTGCTTAAACCACTGCTCTCCCTATACACAATCTCTCTTTCAAGGCCCTTCTCAAATACTAGGATTTCTCACCAAAGCCTTTCTAGATCCCTCTTGGCCAGATGGCAACTCTCTGCTATGCGTTAACATTGTGTTTTTGGTTCTGTTAGGGCACTTCCCTAACCCCGCCCTGTAAAAAAAAATCCCTTTTGGCTGTGTCTTCTTCTTCACTGTTGGCAAGTTTCCTAAGGGCAGGAAGGATCTGCCTCTCTCTTCACCTTTGGATCCTTGGCTGAGTCTGGGACGGCATCTGGGAAAGGGGAGAGGCCCGGAGCACTCATCTGAGACGATGACAAGGCCTGAGGCAGACTGTCTGCGTGGGCGTTGAAGGTGGTGCTGAGAGGGGGCTTCTGGGGTACTAGAACGTTCCGTTTTCTGATTTGGGTGCTGGGTGCATGGGTGTGTTGAGTTTGTGAGAATTCATCAAGCTGTACACTTATAATCTGGGCACTTCTCTGTACATACACTATAGCCCATCAAAATTTCCGAAAAGATGGGCGCTGAGCGCTGCACTGTGGGTGAGAACAGACACCGGTACGACCTCTGTGGAGAGCATCTCGATGGAAAACCTAACCCCACAGCTCTATTTATGAGAAGTTATTCTACCAGTATATTCACCGTATGTGCGAAGATTTGTGCTCAGGGGTATTTTCTGCAGTTTTGTTCACGACTGCGGAAGAAAACAGACTAAATACTCATCCATAGAGAACCACTTAAATGAATTACAATCCATCCATACTGCGAAATAGGATTAAAAGACTGATATGAACTCCTCCACGACTTATTTATTTACTGCGTGTAGAGTGTATAAAGTTTGCTCCAGTGTGCGTTGTTTTATTTATTTCTATATTTTTAAAGATTTTATTTTATTTTATTTTATTTTAAAGATTTTGTTTATTTATTTATTTGACAGACAGAGATCACAAGTAGGCAGAGAGGCAGGCAGAGAGAGAGAGGAGGAAGCAGGCTCCCTGCTGAGCAGAGAGCCCGATATGGGGCTCGATCCCAGGACCCTGGGATCATGACCCGAGCCGAAGGCAGAGGCTTTAACCCACTGAGCCACCCAGGCGCCCTAAAGATTTTATTTTTGAGTGATCTCTGCACCCAACGTGTGACTCAAACCCGCCATGGCGAGATCAAGAGTTGCATGTTCTACCGACTAAGCCAGCCAGGAACCCCCCACATCTCAGGTGCCCAGCCCAGACAGTGGCAGACGACCTGCGGCAGGACCATCGGCCCACTCAACCCACCGGGCCGTGAGAGACAATCAGGAATGGCTGGCTTGGGGTGGCCTAGAGAACCGGAACAGATGACAAGAGCACGCTGCTCACATTTCCCTCCCCCTCAAACCCTGGGCTACTTCAGTCACTGTGCACCTCTTCACTGCCTATGCCGTACGAGTGGGCAGTGCGTGTGTTTGTGCCTGTGGGTTACACATGCACACCTGTGCGGTGGCTGAAAACACCCCCCAGTCTCCTGCCCACCTAGCTCGTTCTGACTTCCCCTCTAAGAGCCCGCCCAGGTGCCACCCTATGCCTCTCCTGCCCCTGCAGGCTGGGCTACATTCTCCTCCAGGCCCCTGTGCACCCTGTCTGGGTACAGACTGAGCATCTGCCTGGTATTACATGGAACAGAGCAGTCTACTGAACTGAATGCACAGAGGAAGGGCAGGGAAGAGACTTCTCTATTCACTGTGTGGCCCTGTTTAATTGAAGTCTGCCTCCTTGTCCCAAAATTGAGTCTGGAAGCTTGTTTTTACGTGACAATCGTTCATTCTGAGGTACACGGGGTACCCCTGCCCAGAACTACAATGACAATATATGGTATACACAGGTAGCTTGAAGGTTACATTCAGCTTGGCATCCAGAGCCTATCCTCTTCTGAGGATAACCTGGGGCTATACTACTTAGAATAAGAAAAACATTTCAGAGCCGGGAAAGGCCCTGCTGCCTGTTATCTAGGTAACTGGACAGGTGACTTGTCCAAGGCCAGACGGCAGACCAGGCATCCTCTCCAGTCCCCAGCTGCAGGCCCGCAGCAGCACTCACTCTGCCATGGCCCCACCCGGGGAACCAGAGGAAACGGGGAGCAGAAGGGCTGGGAGAGAAGGGAAAAAGCTGTGAGGTCTGCAGAAGCTCCAAGCTGGCAGCCCCCAGCCAGGCTCACCGGGTATGTGGGCTTGGTGGTGATTTCCAGGAGCTTCTGCTTGGCTCTTCGCTCTGCCTCGCGGGCTTCCTGCAGGTCCTGCTTCAGCTGATCAGCCTCCTTAGCCCTGCAAGGAAAGGAGGAGCCAGTCAGCTCCTCGAAGGCGACAGGTGGCAGAAAGCGAGCCCTCTGCCCCACTATTCCCCTGGAAATGAAGGTCATGGGTTAATCCTGAGGACGGCACCAGATCAGGCAAACAAGGTCAGTGGCTGTGGGGGCATTTATGTGAAAATCAGAACTTCCAAAGCAAGGACAACATTCCTGAGTTCCGTTCATTGCAACAGTAAATCTAAACCAGAAGAGCAGGGAAGCCAGTGGGCAGGAGTCAAGTTCAAACCTTTGCAGTTGGTGGAGGGGGAGGAGAAGTGGAGGAGAAGCTAGCAGCTTCCTCTGCTTCACTTCTGGGTGAGAGTGGGCTAGGCAAAGGTACAGTACAGTGGATCGGAGGTCTAATATTGGATTCTGAAGGGCAGGATGGGAGAGAACTGATTCTTCACAGCCCCTAAGTAAAACACCTGCAGGCCTGGGGCCAACCTCAAGCAAGATGACGAGCACCAACGCTGAGGGCGTCACACCTCACCCTGCAAGACACAGGACCCAGGGGGCCCGGCTCAACATGCATCAGTCAGCAGGGGAAGTGACCCGCACACAGAAAGAAAGGGGCCCGAGACAGGGCAGGAAACCAAGAACCATATTCCCAGAACGACATGCAAAAAGTGGAGAGGAAACTGTAGTGAATGCACCTTGGTAGCAAAAAGCCAAATGCAAGTGTTCGGAATCAACAGAGCCAAATGCTGTGGGGAATGCGCCAGTGTTTATCTGAAGACGGCAGGGCCAGAACAATCCCGAGCCTAGAACAGTCTTTGGGAAGTAGAGACTACAGTTCCATCCTTCAACCTGGTTGTAAGCTGGCCACAAAGAGGACCCTGGCCCTCCCCTCCTATCTGCCTCAGGAGCCTTAGCACCAAGAAGGGACTGCAGGGAAGGGGGTTCCTCCTTACTTCATTAAGGGTAAATAGCTGCTGTCTCCCCACATGTCCCCTAAATGAAAAGGGAAAAGAACCACATTTTTTAAATGTAAGAAGAGCCTCCTTACAGCTCCTCAGCTGAAAGCAGCTGGCGGCCGTGCTTGATGGCTTTCCTGCCAACACGGCTATCAGAGGGATGGCGGTTTATCACAGGCCCAAGCATGGCCAGAGGTCCACTCAACAAGAGAACTGTGTTCCTGAGCCTTTTTACTAATTCCAGCCCTCAAACCCTATACCGGCTTAAGTACCAGTTCTCACCAACCTGTCAAGGGAGGAGCCTCCCCCCGCCCCAGAAGATGGAGAAGCGGCTTGCAGACAAGTGCAGTCAAGCTCTGCATGACTGGATGGGCCTTCGCCTGAGCCCCAGGGCCCGGGACTCCCGACCTCTCACCTCCTCTCTGACTCCTCGGCCATCTTCAGCGCCAGCACCTCGGCCTCTAGCACCTTCTGCTCCATCAGGCGCTTCTCCTCCTCTGTCCGAATGGCTGTGGCCTTGATGCGCTGCATTTCCTGTTCAGCCTCTGCAGCCTTCTGTGCCAGGAGTTTGGCCTCCTCCTCTGTGATTTGGGCCTTTTCTGCCAACAGGTCAGCCGTCTCCTCAGACCGCATCTGGAGAAGACCACTGTCAGCTGAGATGGGGACCACGTACCCATCACCCCACCCCCCCGATGTGGCCTCAGACATTCAGGTCAGCAAGAACCAGGGCCTCCGGGGCCCTGCCACTGAATGTCCCATCAGAGGACACTTGGGCACGGGATGACAAGCCATACTCTCAACTGTTTGGAAAGGTTCTTCAGGTTCTGCCTACGGGGAGCAAGAAGAAAGCGCCTTTCTGAGTGTCCACTTGAGCTGAGGCATATGCTGTATGAGGAAGAAAACCAACTTTACCTTGTTTTTTCCTTTTAAATCAGTGGTTCAAACCAGTAGAGACTGCTCCCCTGGGAGACAGGTAACAATGTCTGGAGGCATTTTTGATTGTTACAAGTGGTGAGGGGGCGCGTGCTACTGGCATCTAGCGGGTAGGGGGGGTCAGGGACACTGTTAAACATCCTGTGAGCCACTGGACAGCTCCCACCATAAAGGGTGATCTGCCCTCAGTACCAGCTGAGAAGCCCCACTTTCTTTTTATTTTTTAAAAAAGATTTTATTTATTTGACAGACAGAGATCACAAGTAGGCAAAGAGGCAGGCAGTGGGATGGGGGCGGGGGAAGAAGGCTCCCTGCTGAGCAGAGAGCCCAATGTGGGGCTCGATCCCAGGATCGTGATCATGACCTGAGCAGAGCCGAAGGCAGAGGCTTTAACCCACTGAGCTACCCAGGCGCCCCAAGAAGCCCCGCTTTAAAGGCGAGACCCAGTCAAAGTGGGGCTCAGTCCGCCTCTGCCAACACAGGTGGAAAGAAAGGCACTGATTTTTTTTTTTTTTTTAGCTGAAATGTCAAAGCATGTTACTAATCTGTGGTCGTTGGGAGGCTTAACTTCCTAAACCCACGAGAGTCCCCATGTAGCCTCCAGGGGCCCAGACCCCCAAAGCAATCACCAGAGCTTCGTTGGCCATTGTTGCCTCTTCTTTCATCTGCAGCAGCCTCCTCTCCAGCTCGTCCCTCGTGCGCTCTGCCTCCTCCCTCATCTGCTTCTCTCGAGCAAGTCGCTGCCGCTCCATCTGAAGGCCAATGACAGTGACCACTGAGTCACGGAGCCCTCACGGAGCCTGCAGTGCCACGGGGGCCCGAGAATGCCCAGTGTCCAGATTCCCCCAAGGAGACCCTCTTTTCTCCCCTTTACTTTAGGTTGCCAGTGTCGTTCTTGTCACCCGCCACCCTTTGTCCTTCGAAACCAGCTGCAGGATCGAAGGCTGTGTCCCTTGAAAAAACGTCTAGAGGTGAGAGAACAAACACAACAATAAAAAGGCGAGCCCTGTCAAGTGTACCGGGATCGAAGGTGCCATTCTTCCGCACTGTGTGCTGAAATGGCCACCCTGCCAATATCCCTTTTTGTTGGGAGACTTCACATGGCTCTGCCCTGCGGCTGACAGGACACAATGTAGGTTCCTTCTCCCTGAGACGGAGCCCCAGAAACACACCGCTCACTTCTGGCTGGAAGAGTCACTTTGCCATTTCTTTTCCACATGGACCCCTCCCACATCTCTAATTTCTTCCCCTGTTGCTCCTGCCGCTGACCCACGGAGAAGACGGAATGGTTCTACAGGAGACATCGGGAGTTCACACAGTGTGTGTCACGGTGGGGAAGCTGCAATGCCACCATACAGGGGCCCAGCCTCACGCAGAGGCAGCTCCTGGCCAGGACTGCAACAGGAGGGAGCCGAGCAGGGAACACAGCAACCTCCCCCAACCTCGTCCTTAAGGCACCAGTACAAAGCCACTACCGCCTCCCATGCCTTCTGGATCACTGTATTAATTGGGCCACATGCAGAGCTTAATAAGGGGAACAAGCACAGGACAAGTGCTATTCTCTGCGATCGCAGGGTATTAACTGAGTTCAGAAAGCAGAAGCCAGAAGTGACCACAGCACTATTTTCTTCCTTAAATAGAGCACATTTAATTACTTCTTGCTTCAATCTTCTCCCAAACACAAGATTTTTAAGACTGCTGCCTTTTCTAAACACTGAGCCAAAAAAAGGGCATTGGGCCTCAAAGGAATAATGCAAAGACAGCAATAAAATACTGTAAATTCTTCTCCAATTTTCCACTTGCAGATCAGTAAAAAGTTTGGCCAATTTTTTTTTTCCTAATTTCCACTGCATTATAATTTCCATTAGGTAGATTACTGTACCTCCATTATTCTCCACTTGAAAAAATCCCAGGAAACCACCTTCTGTTCCCAGCACTGCACTTTCCCTGAGACCGCCACCCACTAATAAGGGGCCTCCTGCCTGCAAGGTCGTTTCGGTCCGCAAAGGCTTTCAGGGGCAATGGTCCTCTGATCTGAGACCGAGAAGACGTACCATTAGCTCCACTGGGCAGATGGGAAAACTGAGGTCTGGGAAGTAAGTCATTTAGTAATGTCACATACTAAGTTTCCCATCTGGCTCCAAGGTCTGTGTCTATTCCACTGGGCCATAAAGCCCTCAGCCTGTGGCTGCCAGATGCCAGGGACATGTCTCGTGTTCTACAAGCAGTGCAGGCCAGGGCCGTGTGCATTCTATTCTCTGCCAACAGCTCCAAGGCTGTTGCACTCATTGCCGTTTTCAGATCTCTCACTTCTAAGCTTTGCTCGTCTGAAAAGAGGTCAAAGAAGGCCCTTCTTGAAGTTGCCACCTAGACCCGTGCTGGCTCAGGAGTATTTCTTTGTCCAAGAAAACCCACTCTACCACCGCGGCCCCCAAAGCAGCCCAAACAGTCTGTCGTCTCACAGAGCAAAGGGATGGAACGCTGAAGGCATGCTGGCTCAAACTGGGTATTTCGTTCCAAATCTCAGGGCAGGGAGCCAACCTCACCGGAGTCCCCACATCAGAGAGCTGCACACAGACTAATGATTACACCTCTGAGCCTGCAAGTCCTGAGGGCAGCTGACTGCAGCTGCTTCTACTCTGTCCAGGAGTTGGTCCAAAACCACAGTGGATATTCTCGGCAGCGAGGCTCAGATTAGTTGTGTGGATTTCGGTGAGTCGACATGATTTGTGAGTAGAAAACAATGATGCAGACTGTCCAGTCTGCTGATAAGCACTCCCAGCACCTCCCACCATGGGCAACATGCCGCCTGGGCTGACCTGTGGCAGGGAAGTGGGGCCGGAGTCTAATTAGCATTCCCTCAGCAAGCACGAGACGCTGCTGTGCATTCTATCACCATCTAATTAGAAAAGGACAAGGCTGGGCAAAGGAGACAGGCAGGCAGAAAGAAAGCAAGCTACCTAGGTGGACAGACTATGAGTGGATGGATGGATGGATGGATGGACGGACGGACGGACAGATGGATGGACACAGGCTTGCCTATCCCTTCCCAAGCCTGCATTAATCACACTTCACTTACTTAAGTGGGGAAATACTAGAAATGTTTCTTTTACATATGCTGTCAGAGTTTATTCCTCATTTCGGAGCAGACACCCCATCGGCTGGGCATCAGCCAGTGAAGATCCAACAGAGCTAAAATGAGAGAAGGTGTACCTATGGCTGAACGACACCTGTCAGCCCATGACTGCTGCTCACCTCCCAGGCTAAGACCACGAAGCAGCGACAACGGTGGTTCAGACACGGTCTTGCTCACCTGCTTTCTAGCCTTCTCCTCCCTGGCCTGGGCTTTCATCTGCTGAACTTCCAAAGAATCGGCCTTCCTTCTCCTCATAAAAAGGTCATGGTTCCCGATACAGAGCTGGAGAATCTGTGGTTGGAAGCAGTGGCAATGTTAAAGCCAGAAGTTTACTTCACTGCCTACCAGCTCACTAGCCCTATGGCGTCTTGGTTTCGGGGTTCTTGGGGTCAGCAGGAAACCTGAGAAATAAAGCACGGAGTGAAACAGTGAGGCCCTCCCTACTAACGGCCTCCAGGGCTCTCTGCTCTGGAGACAGGCAAAACGGAGGTGCCTTAAGGATGCCACGGGGGCAAAAATCACAAGTGAGGAGAGGAACAGATGACACTTCTGCATGTCTTCTGGCTGTATCTCATTCTCCTAAGATGTAGCTCTGCAGAGGAGGGAGGGTAGGAAAGTTCATTCAACAGATTGGGCTGGGACAACAAGTGATTCACGTGGAGAAAAAGAAGCTGGGCCCCTCTCTTACACAAAAAACAGAAGGATTAAACATTTATTTATTTTTATTTTTTTAAAAGATTTTATTTATTTATTTGACAGAGAGAGACACAGCGAGAGAGGGAACACAAGCAGAGGAAGGGGAGAGGGAGAAGCAGGCTTCCCTCTAAGCAGGGAGCCCGATGCGGGGTTCAATCCCAGGACCTCGGGATCACAACCTGAGCCGAAGGCAGACGCTTAATGACTGAGCCATCCAGGCGCCCCGGATTAAAGATTTATATATTTATTTATTAAGATTTTATTTATTTATTTGACAGAGATCACAGGTAGGCAGAGAGGCATGCAGAGAGAGAGGGGAAAGCAGGCTCCCTGCTGAGCAGAGAGCCCTATGCAGGCTCAATCCCAGGACCCTGGGATCATGACCTGAGCTGAAGTCAGAGGCTTAACCCACTGAGCCACCCAGGTGCCCCGGATTAAAGATTTAAACGTGAAGACTAAACCCTTGAAATTTTTTAAGAGAATGTAGAAGAGGGGCGCCTGGGTGGCTCAGCGGGTTAAAGCCTCTGCCTTCGGCTCAGGTCATGATCCCGGGGTCCTGGGATCAAGCCCAGCATTGGGCTCTCTGCTCAGAGAGCCTGCTTCCCCCCCCCTCTCTCTGCCTGCCTCTCTGCCTATTTGTGATCTCTGTCTGTCAAATAAATAAATAAAATCTTTAAAAAAAAAGAGAATGTAGAAGATTATCTTTATGATCATAGGATAAAAAAAGATGTCAAACAAGACACAAACAGTACAAAGGATTAAGGAAAAGATGTATATATTTGTCTATATTAAAATCAAACATTCTTTGTTAAGACATTTAAAAAGGTGGGAAAACAAGCCACAGGCTGGGAGAAGATATAACCAATAAAGAGTACAAACATCCCGGAAAATGATGACGGAAGGGCATGAAACAAGTGCTTGACGAAAAAGACAATGAGCTCGGGGAGGACATGTGTTGTAATGAGCACTGGGTATTATATACAAGACTGATGAATCACAGACCTGTACCCCTGAAACAAATATATGTTAATTATTATAGACAAATTACATGTTAATTATTAAATTTAAATTTAAAAAAAGACAATAAGCTTGACCAAAAAATATACAAAAAGATGTTCAACTTCATTAGTAAATAGATAGATGCACCTTAACTTGCACTGAGATAATATTTCATATGCACAAGAGTGACAAAAAATTTTAAAGGCTGATAATATAAGCACGGAAGATTCAAAAAAGGAAGTTGCACCCACTGCATGGGATCTGCCAATTAATTCACCTTCTTTGGAAAACAACATGGTATAATCTTGAATTTGGACATACACTACAGCCTTGCATCGGTACTCCTAAGCAGATACTCTCTAGAGAAACTATTGCAGGAGGCAGGTACAAGAATGTTTGCAACAGCCTGGTTAAAATAGCAGAGAAGTAAAAAGCAATTATTCATGAATAGAAGAATGACAAATACACACACACACACACACACACACACACACACACACACATATATCCATAAAAGGAATACTATATAGCAATGAAAATAAAGGGATCGTATCTTAAAGCATCAACAGAGATACACCTCAGAAAATAATAATGCATGCAAAAAGGTGACAGAAGAACACAGACAGTTGATAGCACTTGGTATATTTCAAAAGTTCACAAAACTTAACAGTATATTCATTTTGCTATATATGAAGTCAAGTTCTGAGGAAAAGCAAGGGAATAATAGGCGCACAGCTTAGAATGGTGATCACCCTTGGGGAGGTGGGTGGGGGAAGCCATGGGGATGCTAACATGAGGGGTTCTAACAGTACTGGAAGTGTGTTGTTTCTAAAAGCTGGGTAGTGGGTACGTAGATGTTCATTTTTGCCCCTTTTTACACCTAATACGCATACTTATCCTTTTATATGTATAAAGTACCTCCATAAAAATAATTTTTAAAAATTTCACATCATGGGCACCTGAGTGGCTCAGTTGTTAAGTGTCTGCCTTCGGCTCAGGTCATAATCCCAGAGTCCTGGGATCGAGGCCCGCATCAGGCTCCCTGCTCAGCAGGAAGCCTGCTTCTCCTTCTCCCACTCCCCCTGCTTGTATTCCCTCTCTCACAGTCTCTGTCAAATAAATAAATAAAATCTTTTTAAAAAAAATTCCATATCACAAAATCTAGGTTTGACTCGTTAGGTTAAGCTAAAAGGAAGAGTCTTTCAAGGTCTACTGGAAAAGCGTGTAGCAGGTGAGGTATCCTTCTACACTTCCCTCGAGGTTACTCTGATACTCTCTCAAAAAAGGTACTCAGGGGGCACCTGGGTGGTTCAGTCGTTAAGCGTCTGCCTTCGGCTCAGGTCATGATCCCAGCGTCCTGGGATCAAGCCCCACATTGGGTTCTCGGCTCGGCTGGAAGCCTGCTTCTCGCTCTCCCACTCCCCCTGCACTGTCTCTCTCTGTCAAACAAATAAATAAAAAATCTTAAAAAAAAAAAAAAAAAAGCACTCAGAAAAAGCTATCTCAGAAAAACTACAGTTATCAGTAACAAAAACCGGGATCTCAACTTACCAGCTTATTAACACGAAGCTTTGAGGAGTTAAATTTGAAGACATCGATTTTCTTATCCAATGGCTTAATAGTAAACTGAAAGAAGGAAGCAGAAAACAGTTTCAGTCTCACAGCCTAGAGTGTGAGCACCAACTGGGAAATTCCACAAAAGCAGCAACCAAGCTGGCAAAGATCCAGCACAGGGCTGTTCTGCCTTGTCCTGGCTTCCTGGTGCCTGGGCACTAAACCATGGTAAATCACAAGTGGCTGAGGGTGCCAAGTCTGGGGCTGTGGAAGTCCAGGATCCTGGAAGGTGTGCTGTCAGCACCATCTTAGGCTTAGGAACCTGAAACGCCAGCCTTCAGTGGGCCCCACTGTGAGGCCAACAAATGGGAAGCCTATTGCAAAGCCACAGGCCCAGTTCTGCCTTCAGGAAGCTCACCACCTAGCTGGAACCAGACTAATGACAGTCAGTTACTTGAGAAATTACATCATCTATTAGTGCCTCATTGGGAAGCACAAATCACAAATGTCATGGGGGTTCAGCGTCAACCTACCATAAGTAGGAGGGAAACTTCAGCTGGTCAGACACAAAGAGTATGAGAGGGAAGTTAAAAGGTCGGAAGGAGGGCCATTCAGGACAGGGCAAGCAACAGAAATGAGGGGGAGATAAGGAAATGAGCTGTGTGTGTGTGTATGTGAGAGAGAGAGAGAGAGAGAGAGAGACGTTATTAGCTCTCTGATGACTATGCTGTCATGGGCTCAGACTGGGAGGAAGGCAGGTAGGCTGGGGTTTGATGGGGCAGCACATAGGTCATCACTCCGGGTTCTGAACATGGGGATTCTCAGCTGAAAGCTATTAATAAAAGGAATAAAGTGTGAAGAACAGACTGTGGTAGAAGAGGGAAACTGGTCCTGAAATCAAAGGGGAGAGAAAGTTGAGTAAGGACAGAGTGGTAGCCAAGTAGATCCCAGGACCAGACTGCTAGGCACAGAAGCATACGAAGAGCAAATGGCAACTGCTGTTCTCAACCATTCCTGCTCAGACCAGTCGGATCCTCGCTTGCAAAGACGCACTGAAAAAAATGAGTACCTATTCCCAAGAAAGATGTGCTAAGCAGATAAATACGTCTGTGGAGATAAATTCTTGGGTATGTCTTTCGCATGTTTATTTTGTCCGAGGAGGAGTCAGCACACCAAGGAAAATGATCCTTCGGTTAAGCTTTTGGTCAAGCCAACTTGGAAGCACTATTGCTTTCGTGTAGGTTATTTGTAAATTTCGTGAGCTTATTTTTGGCTTTGAAGTCAAACCCCAGAGCTGTCAGTGGGAAACCACAAGTAGTGGGGAAACCACAGGCTATGTGCTGGGTCGGGACGTGCACAAAGAATCAATGGATCACTTAAAATAAACCAACATTTCTGTTTTGGCAGCACAGCTGTCATGCATAACTACTAAGACTACTTCCTATTATGTCAAGTCAGCTTGAGGTCCTCTTACTGCCTGAGTTATTGACATGATGGAACATGATGGCACCCTGTCCCTGGAGAGGGTATATTAGGGTTTATTGTGTCAGGCCGTACTAGGGGAGACTTGAAGCCTTGGATTCTGTGAAAAATGAGTGTCTTGGGAGCCTTTAGCACACGAATGCGTGGATATGCAGTAAACAGACTTTATGAAATTAGAGATGAAAAACTACCACGCCATAGCATACCTACTGCTTTAAGTCATGGGGATCGTTCAACTGAAGTACTTTAAAAAAGAAATATCTAAGTGCTGCTCTTCTGGGCTAGTTACAGAAAATTCGAGAGCCAGCATGTTTTGAATTAAGCAGCTCGATCTGTCTCATCAAGCATGGCCGAGGAGATCTCAACCACATTACTGGAAACGAGGAGCCTGGGGTTCCCTTTCTCGAGTTGCTATTAGGGAAGGGAAAACAGGAAATCTGTTCCGGTGGGGGCTCCACACAAGCCGTCACCGTTCCTCACTCCACACTTGGCTTCCCAGCTCTGCGGGCGCCAATACGTCACTGAGCACCATCCGGGCCCACTGCCTTCTGCCCAGTTCCCTGTGTTCTCAGGACTCATGCTCTGCACCCTCCCCCACCAAAGCCCCCCACCCCACCCCGGGGCCAGGACTTCAGGGAACATGGAGCTCAGCCCCTGCTAGTCCCCTCACAGATCACAGCTTGCCTGATTCCTCCACAGCTCCGCTCCCTGATACAGCACAGATACCCCAAACCCGGCCCCTAATCTTGCTGCATGTTTTTGGGAGAAGGAATCAGAGTTGGGGTGAGAGCACCCGTGAGTGGTAAAACAGAAACGTACTGGGTCACCATCACCTGCACCATCAGTCAGGGCCTTGCTTGACTCTAACGTCCCTGAGGGCTGAGACTGGATTTCCTACATCTTTGTTACAAAACCTAACACAAAGCAGATGCTTGATAATTCCCTGAAAATTAACAAAGAACAAACGAGTGAAGAAATGAACATAAGATGACAGTGTTTGGGAAAGGTCACCATTCTGCACTGAAATATCTGACTTCTAACTTAGCATGTTCAGCCAAGTTATTCGAACTGAATTATTCTCAGATTTTCACAAGTAGTTCTGATAGCCTTATTTGTATCATTGCTGTGACACACAGAGACAGACAGGTGGATAGATAGATAGATAGATAGATAAGATAGATAGACAACCCCACATGTATCAAGCACTGGATACTGAGAGAGGACTTAACGTCCCCCACATTTAAATATACACAGCGAATTTCTCACTAGAAATAGCAAGGCAAGTAACAAGAAAAAGTTACTTTCTGGTTTGTTCACTATTCTTTGGAGGTTCTTCTGGACAAGCTGAGCTCCCCAGCCTCTTGTTAGTCAGCAGGAGGGGTTTAGCGATGCCATTTGAATAAAGGATGCTGATACCGTTCTCTAAACAGAAAAGAACAACCCAAACCCAAAGCCTGGGGATTAAAGGATTTTACTGGTAACAAGGAGCAGTCTGGCTGGGGACCGCTACAGCGAGGAGGAGAGACGGGGAAAGCCCGAGAGTGGCACTGCTGGCGGCGGGTCTGCATGTGAAGCACGTCCTACCTCCTTGTCGCTGTACGAGATGTTTCGGATTTCATTCCACGGGAAGGAGATCTTGGGGGTCAGCCTGTTCTCAGGGTCATAGATGTGAAGCCCCAGAGCATCCACTCCAAGCAGCAACTCGGTCCCCTTTTTATTCTGTAGATTCAATCAACAGCAGCGACCGTCAGCTTCAGCGGAAGTCTGAGATTTTATTCAACTTCCCAAAGAACCTGGCACATACTATTATATGTGACAAGTTCCAACAGGTCCCAACAGAAGTCACAGCTGCTGTGTAACCCAGGGGGCCTCCAGCTTCCTGAACTGGGGCAGGCAGAGACAAAATACCATTCTCATGACTCGTGTCCCGGAGAGGGATCACAGGGGGGCTTCTGTCACCGGCTCGATGGCTTTAGTCGTAGCCACCTAAGCACTGTTACCTCCAATTAAACACAGTGGTCGTCCCCCGCCCCCTTATCTGTGGTTTGGCTTTCTACGGTTTCGGTTACAAGGTCTGGAGGCAGATGATTCTCCTTCTGAGTTACTGTCAGGTCAGTAGTAGCTTAATGCTACACTGTAACACCTAAATCAGTCACCTCACTTCATCTCATCATGTAGACACTTTATCATCTCACATCATCCTAAGAAGGGTGAGTAGTACAGTAAGATGTTTTAAGAGAGAGAGAACGCGGGACGCCTGGGTGGCTCAGTTGGTTGGACGACTGCCTTCGGCTCAGGTCATGATCCTGGAGTCCCGGGATCGAGTCCTGCATCGGGCTCCCAGCTCCACGGGGAGTCTGCTTCTCTCTCTGACCTTCTCCTTGCTCATGCTTTCTCTCACTGTCTCTCTCTCAAATAAATAAATAAAATCTTAAAAAAAAAAAAAAAGAGGGGCGCCTGGGTGGCTCAGTGGGTTAAGCCGCTGCCTTCGGCTCAGGTCGTGGTCTCAGGGTCCTGGGATCGAGCCCCGCATCGGGCTCTCTGCTCAGCAGGGAGCCTGCTTCCTCCTCTCTCTCTGCCTGCCTCTCTGCCTGCTTGTGATCTCTCTCTGTCAAATAAATAAATAAAAAAAATCTTTAAAAAAAAAAAAAAAAAAGAGAGAGAGAGAGAACGCGTTCGCATAACTTTTATTAGAGTACACTGTCATAACTGTTTTTTATTGTTATTGTTAATTTCTTACATTGTGCCTAATTTATAAATTAAACTTATCACAGGTATGCATATATAAGAAAAAAAGCCATAGTATATATAGGGTTTGGTACTATTCACAGTTTCAGGCATCTGCGGGAGAGACTATTATAACCAGGTTATCATAGATGTAGAATAAAGACCTGTAGGATTGAATCTCTCTTACAGTAAAAGAAAATGTAGTTGTACTACCAGAAAGAATTTTTTTTTTTTTTTTAAGTAGGCTCTATGCCCAAAGTGGAGCCCAACATGGGGCTTGAGCTCATGACCCTGAGATCAAGAGTCGGATGTCTAACCAACTGAGCCACCTAGGTGCCCCACCAGAAAGAAAGCTGGGATCAAAGTGCTGGGATCAAATGGTTCTATGTTAAAATGTATTCTCAGTGTGATAAAGCAAATATAGTAAAATGTTAATTAAAGAACTTATAAGTGGGTATATATGGGTATTCACTGTAGAATTCAACTTTCTTATATGTTTGAAATTATTTATAATAGGATGTTGGAAAAAAATATACCAAAATGAATTGTATATAAATGATACCTTGGGGTGCCTGAGTGGCTCAGTCAGTTAAGCATCCGACCCTTGGTTTTGGCTCAGCTCATCATCTCAGGGTCCTGGGATGAAGCCACAGGTAGGGCTCTGTGCTCAGTGGGGGGAGTCTGCTTGAGATTCTCTCCCTCTCCCTCTCCCTCTGCTCCTCCCACCATGCTCTCTCTCTAATAAATAAATACATCTTTAAAAAATAAATTATACCTCAATAAAACTCTATGAAAATTTAACTGCTGGCACATACATTGGTTGGCAGTCAGGGTAGACAGAGGACGAGTGCCCTTCACCCTCAGGTCACTGACCCAGCTGTGGGCCTGGAGGCTACCTCCTCAGGCTGGAGGCCCAGTCACCTACTCTGTGTAGTGTGTCCCTTGTGTCGTGGTGGAAGGAAGCTCCCTGCACAAGGACCTAAAGCGCTTGACCTGTTGCTGACAACTAGGACATTGAACCAGTTTCAAGGACAGCAAAACAGGTCTGCAAACCAAGAAGGTGCTCAGACTGTGATGAGAAGGACCAATCGAAGAGCAGGGGTCAGGTGGACAAGTGAGTGCTCCAAGATATATCTTTTAGTCGTTCTAACACTCCTCAATTCAGGCGCTCTTACCAAACACTAAAAGAGATTCCTCTTAGTCTGCAAAGCTCTTAAAAGTACTGCATTTACATAAGTGAGGCTTTGTACTTTTAAGTGCTACAGTACATTTTGGAAAAGGAGAGATTTCATTATGTTTGTGCCTGGTTCAAATTATTTAAAAAAAAAAGGGTTCTACCCTTCGATTCCTATCATGACCCCCAACCCTTCTACAGAATAAACAGAGAGGCAAGGCTCAAGCAGTCTCTTCAATTGTTTTAAGCACTTAAGTTCCTTAGTTGATGTGAAATCACAGGAACTCGAACACCAAAGATACTAAAATATCTATCGGCTGTGTCTACTATGTAACACAAAACACACACACAATTGTGTATTTTAGTCTGACTGCTGTAGAAATATTTCCTAATACACTGTTTTTTAAGGGCTGTAAAACACTACTTTTCTAAAATCTAGATGGTGGACATATGGGCCAAGAGGAGTTATGTTGTCAAAACCACAGAAATGTGTTAAACTAGCCTGCCCTTAAATAAACCAGACAATTAGCAAATAGAAATTAGTAAAACTTAAGAAAATAACCTTTTGCATTATTATCGAAAATCTTTTAGGCACTTGTTTACTATGTGAAATAACAAAATTTGCCAGTGTAATTTTATACAAACTAATCCGTTTTTTAAAAGTCTGTATTTAGAAAACAAATTAGGGGCACCTGGGTGGCTCAGTGGGTTAAAGCCTCTGCCTTTGGCTCGGGTCATGATCCCGGGGTCCTGGGATCAAGCCCCATGTCAGGCTCTCTGCTCAGCAGGGAGCCTGCTTCCTCCTCTCTCTCTGCCTGCCTCTCTGCCTACTTGTGATCACTGTCTGTTGAATAAACAAATAAATAAATCTTTAAAAAAAAAAACCACACAAATCAGGTAGAAAGCTATTATTTAAAATGTATTACAGTTTACTCAAATTTCATACAAAATCTTTTTTAAAGATTTTATTTATTCGACAGAGAGAGCACAAGCAGGAGGAGCAGCAGGCAGAGGGAGAAGCAGGCTCCCGACTGAGCAGGGAGCCCAATAGAGGGCTCAATCCCAGGACTCTGGGATCATGACTTAAGCTGAAGGCAGAAGCTTAACCCGCTTTGCCACCCAGGTGCCCCTCATACAAAAGTTTTGCAACCTAAAAAAGGTAAGCAAACCATAACTATGGTAAGAAAGGTGGACCACAGGGGCACCTGGGTGGCTCAGCTGGTTAAGCATCTGACTTCTGATTTTGGCTCAGGTCATGATCTCTGGGTCCTGAGATCAAGGACCAACCCCACCCCACCCCAACTCCCCGCACCATGTCTCTGCATTGGTCATGGAGTCTGCTTAAGATTCTCTCTCCCTCTCCCACCCACCTCCCCACCCTAAAAAAAAGAAGTAAAAAAGGAAGGAAAGAAGGAAGGAAGGAAGGAAGGAAGGAAGGAAGGAAGGAAGGAAGGAAGGGTGGGGAGGGAAGCAGGCCAGCCACTGTGGGCCACTGTAACATCTACTTATCTGCAGTCTGGAACCAGCAAAGGAATGGCTGAGCCAATGGCCTGAATTCCTTTAGAGGGAGCTTATAGGTCCTGCATTTAGCAGCAGAACCTTGGGAGAAAGATGCTGAAGGGGCCCACCCAGCCAGGACTGAAAACTGAAGCCTCTGGTACAGAAGCAGTGGGTTCCCAGAGGACAGTGGGACTATTAAGGGTCGGAATAGAAAACCAATTAGCCTGCTAGTGAGAAGGAGAGTCCCACCCACAAATCAGTAATCTATAAAAGCAGCTTTACTCTCCTTGTGCTCTGGAGGAAGAAAGCATTTACAGGTGCTCCCTGTGGGCCAGATCTCACAGAGCCAGAAATAATCAAACATTACACTCAGAGCATTCAAACAGGTTTCTGCTGAGCACCGGACCAGGCCCAAGTCCCCCTGGGGGCTCAACCGACACTTAATTATCAAGGATCTAATTAAAGTCCAAAAATAGAAAATGAGGCTGTAAGACCCTCTCCCCTTCCTCTTCTCTTGTCCTCCACTGAACCATTAAAGAGTGTCACTCTGGAATAAGGAAATAACCCACTTTAGCTGTCTGCCTCTGATTCAGTCTCTGTTTCTACACAGGGAACTCCAAGGGGCTTCAACACACCCGGATTGCAAAGTAGTTCACACCGTACATCTCCAGGTCCTGCGCTATCTTCAAATATTCCATTTCAGCTTCGTCCCTGAGAGAAGAACGAAAGACAGTGTCACCAGAGCTAAGTGAGAAAACAGAGGGCGGGTGCACGCCAACCTGCACGCTGGAACACGCCAGCCAGGGCAGACACCAACACGGCTCTTCCGAGCCCTGAGTCTATGAAATACACTGAGGTCAAGCAGAATTTCCCATCCCCATAAAAGCCAGAGAACAGATTCATTACAGCGTCTCTTGGCTTCAATTTCACGCTTTGCCCTTGGTAAATAATGACACCCGGCTCAAGGATTCAAGAAAAGCACGTGGTGTTATGTTCTTCCCTCAAATGGATTTGTACATGCAGATATGATTTAAGTTGTTGCTTTATCTGATCGTGAACTTTCTTCACCTAGGTTTTGGTATTGAAACAATTCTCTCTGCAGGCTACCTGAGAGCTACCTTCCTGATTTCATTTCTTAGAGTGTTGTCAGAGGTCAGGCCAAGAGCTATCTGGGCTGTAAAACTCAAGCCACGTCACCTACTTGTAAGCTGTGAGTCAAATTTAAAGTAAGCTCTTAAAGCAGCAATGACTTGCAGAAAACTCCCAGATAGATACGCTCTTGAAATATTTTAACTGGATCTCCTGATGACCTTGCCTCTTCCCTTTCTCCAGTCTCAAAATGCTCTCAAATGAATTTTTTAAAAATTCAACCTGAGAGAATACAGTGTTGGCAAGCATGTGGAGCAACTAGAAATCACACACACTGCTGATGTAAATTGGTACAATTACTCTGAAAAGCTGTTTGCTGCTATTTATAAGAGCAAAAACCAAGAGACAGCCCGACACCTTCAAGGTCCATCAACAGTGGAGTGGACAATTCATGCTTTAATATAGTGGAGTTCTGCACAGCAATGAAAATGAGCATTTCACTGCTGTTACATACTACAAACCCGAACCTCACAATATGATGAGTAAAAGAAGTGAGACACAAAAAATAGAGGCTGTCCCTCCGGCATTCACGTAAAGCTTAAAATAGGTACCACTACTCTGTGGAGTTAGGGATCAGAAGAGTGGTTAGCTTTGGGGAGGAAGGATGTGGAGTTATGGCTGGTGGCGGGGGGTGTCATATGCTATCTTGTCACCTGAAGTTACACAGTGTTTTCACTTCGTGATAATTCACTGAGTGGTATGTTTATGTATTGTCCACTTTTCCCTATACATACTAGGAAGTTGATTTGAAGAAGAGGAAAGTATTTTAAAGGCTAATGAAAAGATGATCAATTCCTTCAGTGATCAGGGAAATGCTACCAAATACTTAAGATATATTATCTCATCTTTTAGATTACAAAAATTAGATTTATAAAAATGAGTGTTGGGAAGAGAAACGGGGGAGGAGGGAAGACACGCACATACACTGCTGGTAGGCAGGTAGATAGGTACGACCTTTACCAAGGGCGATTTAGTGGTACCTGTCAACACAAAATGCTCACATCCTTTGACTCAGCAAGTCTTGTAAAGAATATATCCTCAGAACTACTCATCTAATTATATAACAATAGTAGACTGTATACTGCAGGAAGCAAAAATCTATAGCTATTGCAAATGTCATCAGTAGAGGAACAGACACAAAAGCTATGGGATATCCATACACTCTAATTCTTAACATGAAACTGAGTCACCAGTGGAAGCAGTGGGGCTGTACATCTGGACAGGCTGTGCTCCTGGCTATCTTACACCATATGCGCTAGAGGGAAGACACACACAAAACTGAAGGCCAGCTCTCCCTTTTCCTTCTAACTACCTCGGGTGCTGCCTTTTGTTCAACAAGCATGTCCTAATTTTGTAGTTCTTTGGAGGAAAAAAAAAAAAGCCCATATGGAACTGTAAACCGATAATGCAACAGCCTCACCTGGCTCGTCCTCGGTGCTCTGCGTACCAGGCTGTAATTCTCTCCTCCCACATTTCTGGAGTCATTTGATACAGATTTATTACCTACCAAAAAATAGAGCAAAATAACCCACACACAAAAAAGTTTGGGTATTGTTTGCCATTTTTATAATTATGCATCATTTTTACAGAACAGCAAAGCTATTTATTACAAAGCCACATACAGGAAGAGCCAGTCACATTGCAGGGATGGGCATGTAAACAAGCGCCATTCAATTTGAGTCACAACTTAGAAGGGTGCACCCTTCCTCGGGCCTAGGTGCACCCCTCACCCAGCTGAGGCCCCTCTTTCCCGGGCTGCATGTCCCAGAGGGAGGAGCTCAGCCAAGCGGAGTGTGCTGCTGCCTCCTCCCATGCTGCTGCCTCCTCCCGCAGGAAAGCCATCAAAGGACCAGGGAAAGTCAGGGAAAGGTGAGAAGCAGGGCTTCACTACACAAGACAGATGAGTGGGGCTATAAAATCGGGAGGAGTCAAAGGGTGGGAAGGCCTGCTTCTGTGGCTAATGAACAAGATGAACAGCACCAAGGATTAAAAACTACAATATCCCCCAATTCATCTTAGCCCCCCTGCCCCTCTGCAAACAGCTCAGCTCTCTGGGCGGAAGGCAAGCTGCTGCACTCTTCCCCAGGAATCACATTCAAGGCCCTGCTAGCTCTGGCAACCGCAAACGGACTCCATGAACCTTTGCTTTTTAATATTCTGAACAGAGGCTCTACATTCTTTACTCAAGACTGATTACAAAATATTTATTTAAATGATTTCGCCGTGTACTTCCAATATTCCTTCAAGTCCCTCAGTTAGCTTTTTCATAGACCACATCTCTGCTGTGTTTTCCCAAACAGGGGATTGATTTCTTACCCTTTTTGGAAGCAATTCCTCTTGGGCCAAAAATCCACGCTTATGAACAGAGGGGTCGTAGTCACCGTACTGGAAGAAGAAAGGGAGGGCAAGCGATTGAGATTCTAGAGACAACTGCCATTTCTGAAAAGAGCTTGACTATGTCTTATCCCCTCCTGGCTTGGGGAGCAACTCCGTTCCAATTCAGTTCCGATGACAAATCAAGATTTCAACCTTGCTATTTTGTTATCCTTGAATGAAAATACAAAGCTGATTATATCTATGAACAGAGTTGCATAATCCCATGAGGGATGGATGGTGATGTGCTTATGTGACATTTGTATGGAAATGTAGCTGTTTTCTAACCCACAAAGAAAGCAGTCACTGCCAAAACATTAGCTTTTGAAAGGAAATAACAAAACACAACTGTGAAAGTTGTAATTAGCAATGTGTGATAAGAGTCTTACCTACAAATCCTTCTAAGTGGCTGGTAATTGGAGCCAATTCTAGGTTGGGAGTTGGTAATAACGCAGGCAATAGTTTTAATACCTTTCATTCAGGCTCTGAAAAGTGCTTTGGAGAAATCTGATGCCAACGTTGTCATTCCCATTGTAAAGACAAAGAAACGAGTCAAAGGTTTAAGGAGTCAAAGGTTAACTGATTTTCCCAAAGCTACAGAGCAAGTCACTACCGGGGCCAGAAATGGGCCCTGTATTTGAAGGTACCCACCATTTAGGGATAATAACTTGGAAATTCGCTTTCTGATTTAAGAAAAAATATCCCTCTCTTTCCGAGAAAACTTAAGTCTGACCAGGAAATAATAAAAAAATGAAGGCATCTTTAGCTCTTTTTTTTTCAGAGAGAGAGAGTGTGCATGAGCTTGCAGTGAGGAGGCGGGGAGCAGGGAATCTTAGGCAGACTCCATACCCAGCACTGAGCCCAACACCGAGCTCAGTCTCACAACCCTGAGACCATGACCAGAGCCAAAATCAAGAGTCAGACACTTAACTGACTTAGCTTCCCAGGCGCCCCCTAAAATAAAGCCATTTTTTTGAAGAAATTATAAACATATAAATGTAAAATCAAAGCTTATCTCTTGGGATAGAACAATGTTTATCAGCAACTTTAAACTGTGCCTCATTCCCATACAGTGCTAAAAAAGCACTGTAAATTTAATGTTTTTTAAGAATCTATGGGGGGGCGCCTGGGCGGCTCAGTGGGTTAAGCCTCTGCCTTCGGCTTGGGTCATGATCCCAGGATCCTGGGATCGAGCCCCGCATTGGGCTCTCTGCTTGGCGGAGAGCCTGCTTCCCCCCCCCCTTCTCTGCCTGCCTCTCTGCCTACTTGTGATCTGTCAAGTAAATAAATAAAATCTTAAAAAACAACAACAACAAAAAAGAATCTGTGCGGGGGGAGGCGCCTGGGTGGCTCAGTGGGTTAAGCCTCTGCCTTCGGCTGGGGTTGTGATCTCGGGGTCCTGGGATCGAGCCCTGCATTGGGCTCTCTGCTCCTCGGGGAGACTGCTTCCTCCTCTCTCTCTGCCTGCCTCTCTGACTACTTGTGATCTCTGTCTGTCAAATAAATAAATAAAAATCTTAAAAAACAAAAAAAGAATCTCATCATTATCTTTCAAATAGCAGAACTGTACCACATCATTTTTTGTGTTAAACCAATTAATTTACCAAACTTAAATATTTAAAATATGCCAGTTTCTGTACCCCTGTCTAGGCACGTCATTTAAAAAAACCTGAAGGAACCTGGCCTCTCTTGATCTCCCAAAGGCCTGAGGGATGTGATGAGTTAAGTAACTAGATGGAGTTTTAAGGGCACTCTCTCGGGACAGAGCTGCAGGACACAGGTAGGAGCCTGACTCTGGAGGCAGGCTTCGAAAGGTTCAGTCCCAGCTTTTCCACTTATCAGCTGGGACCTTGGAAACTTTTGTGTCTCGGTTTTCTCATCTGTTAAGGGGGATAATAACAGTATTTGTCTTATAGGACTTTGGGGGATTAAATGAAATAATACCGATTATTAAATTAAAATTGTGAAAATATGCTTGACACACAACACTCAATACAACCTGATATCAAAAGACAAAAACTCAGATTGTATTACCTCTGAGTCTGTTTCCTCATCCGTCACATAAGAGCGTCAGTCTTAGCGGATTTTGAATGGGGAGCTGCTCTGGTATCCCTCTGAGGCCTTGAGTAAGGATTCCTCTCTCTCAACTTCAGCTTTCTCATCTGGAAAGCCAGGGTCATAAGCATGGCTGCCTCGTAAGAGGGTGATGAGGATGAAGATGATCTGGAGAAGCATTTTCCATACTGCCTGGCTCACGTAAATGTACTAGCATTATCTTCTGCATTATTTATGACATTGGTCACTGTTTGCCTCTTTGATTTCTGAAGGGGTAAGATGCTAATGCAAGCCCTTGTTAGTTGCATTTGCAAACCTCTTAAAGGTGCTGACCAAACTCTAAATGCAGAAGTAAGCAGATATGCAAAGTTAAAGTTGTAAATTCAGGTTTCAAAGGCTTACGAGATTAACGACCCACATTATCATACTGAGCTCCCAGCTACTTCAGTGATCAAATGTTGCACATCTGAGCAATGCAGAGGCAGCAAAGACCCTGCTTAAAGAACTTCTGCCACTGGACTAACTCCACTTAAAACTTTAAACCCTCCTTGATGCTTGTGTCTGCTCTCAAATGTCTCTTTAAAAAACAAAAGAAGGAGAAAACCCTTAAGTGGTGGCAAGTGGTTAATATAAAAGAAAGTCATAACACTCCATAGACAGAGACGGCTGTTCCTCATCCTTGCTGTACAGATACAGTCTGATAACATAACCAGGAGTGAATTTATTTATTTTTTATTTATTTTTATTTCTTAAAATATTTTATTTATTTATTTGACAGAGAGAGACACAGTAAGAGAGGGAACACAAGCGGAGGACTGGGAGAGGAAGAAGCAGACTCCCTGCTGAGCAGGGAGCCCAACGTGGGGCTCGATCCCAGAACCCTGGGATCATGACCTGAGTGGAAGGCAGACATGACTGTGCCACCCAGGTACCCCATAACCAGGAGTGAATTTACTTTGAAACTAATGAAGTTTGGATTTGAGGTCTCTGCACCTGTGTGGGCTTGACCCTAATTTTATATTCACAATTTGGTATTCTTGCATTGAAAAGAAGACCCCTAAGTTATATCAATGTCAGGCCCCACAAAACCTGGATCCACCCCTGATATAAACCAACTGAATTTAAATTCAAGAAGGGAGTTCACCATTTAAAGGACTCTTGAAGTCAATTCTTAGGTTAAACAGATGCTCTTTCTGGTTATGAAATACTATCCTCTGCCAAATACGTGGAATATCAGACCAAATGCTCTGAACAGGATTTCAGAAATCTTTTAAGATTTGATCAATACATACGCAGAGTAAATTGTTAGATTCCTACCCACGCACCTGTCTACTAAATTCCAGGTGGATTAAAGATCCAAACCTAGAAATGAAAATCCATAAAAATACCAGAACAAAATACAGGGCATGTGTATAACAACGGCTGGTGAAACCATTCTAAAATCACTCAAAACACAAAAATATTGACACATCTGATACGTGTAAGAAAAGACAAAAGGTTAACACCCATACTATATGGCACTCCTATAAATCAATTAGAAAAAGATAAACAATACAGTATAAAAATGGGCAAGCTGTAAACACTTGATGCACAGAGGAAAGAAATACAGTCACCAGTAAATCTGTGAAAAGATTCTCAGCCCACACGGTTATCAGGAAATACTTTAAAAAAAAAAACAACAAACTCTTTTTCTGTCAGATTAGCAACAATTTTGAAAGACTGATAGTATCCACTGTTGATGAGGATGCAGAAAAACAGGTATTCTCACATGCTGTTGTTAAAGGTTAAATTAGGACAAAACTTTCTGAGGACAATTTGGCCATACATATTTAATGTTTTTTATTCTGATAAATACACAAAACTCACCATTTTAAGCAAACAATTCAGTGCGTTTTAGGATATTCAAAATGTTGTACAACCATCACCACTCTAATTACAGAATATTTCTATCATGCCAAAAAGAAATCCCATACCCATTAGCAGTTAAGTCCTGATTTCCTCCTCCTTCCAGCCCCTAGCAACCAGTAAATCTACTTTCTGTCTCTATGGATTTGCCTGTTCTGGACATTTTATAGAAGTGGAATCACACAATAGGCACCTTTTGTGTCTGGTTTCTTTCATTTGGCATTATTTAAATTTTAAAGGTTCTTATCCTTCGGCCCAGTTATGCCATTTCTTGGTATTCATCCTAGAGAAAGACTGTTCATATGTGCCCAAAGAGGCATATGCAAAGATGTTCGCTTCATTCATTTAAATAATAGGAAGAAAAACAAACCTACATATCTACCAATAAAGAGACATTTAAGTAATCCAGTCCCTCCTTTTCAGGAAATATTGTTCAGTAGTTTAAAAAAGAAGTGGGACGATCTCTTTTGATAGTTTTCAGTAAAAATGACAGCTGTATGGGAGTTCCTCTAGAGTAGCCAGAGGAACAAGAACCAGAGCTAGAAGTGGGATTTCAGGGACTCGGAGATGGGGTATCCCCTCTTCTGATGGGTTCTTACTGCATCCATCGCTCTACAGAGGTCATGCCAGTTCATAGTCCTTTTCCAGCAGCACACGAACTCAAACACTGCTCTTCTATTTACAAATCCTTGTCAACCTTATGGGTTTGAAATGGTATGTTAGTCTTGCTTTTAATTTTTCTTTTTCTTGAGTACCAGTGAGATTGAACATCTTTTTGTATTTACTGACAATTCTCATGTTCTCTTCTATAATGTCCCTGTTATGCATGCCCTTTGTACCCACTTTTTTTGCTGTCTTTTTCTCATATACTCAAGAGTTCCTTATATTCAGGGATATAGCCACAATTCTGCTGGTAGAAATCAACCTTAAGTGGAGAAAGCTTTTGCACATGTACACAAGGACTCATATAAAAAGATTTTCATTAAAGCACTGTTTATGATAGGAGGAAAAAGGAGGAACTAAACCTACCTCTTCCTTAAAGGGGGGATGGACCAGTAAATTAGGTTTACTCATCAATGTCCACCACATAACAATTAAGATCAACGTACATCTACACATACAACATAATACATCTCAAAATCAATGTCGAGTGGGGAAAAAATATCAATGTCTAAAAGCACAAGCCAAAAAAGGGGGGAGGGATATGCAAAGTATAGCACCATTTATATTCAACTTTTACATCCTGGATATTTTCAAGTTAGTCTCCTCCCATCCAACTGAACAATGCCTGAGATGTGACCCCAGAACCTCTTACCAGTTCGACCACCATATAGCCTTCTAACAGGTCTCCCTGCTTCCAAACCTGCCTCACTCCAATCTGTCCTTCACAGAGCCACCAAAGGGTCTGTCTAAAATATGAACCCTTCACTGGCTCTGTACCACCCACATGATCAAGTTAAGACCTGTTCATAAGACTTTATGATCTGGCCCCTTATAGACCTCTCCAGCCTCAACTCTTGCCACTCTTCACCTATACTTTACATATACCCAACTTTTTTTTTTTTTTTAAGATTTTATTTATTTATTTGACAGAAAGAGATCACAAGTAGGCAGAGAAGCAGGCAGAGAGAGAGGGGGAAGCAGACTCCCTGCTGAGCAGATAGCCTGTTGCGGGGCTTGATCCCAGGTCCCTGAGAGGATGACCTGAGCCAAAGGCAGAGGTTTAACCCACTGATCCCTGCAGGTGCCCCTATACCCAACTTCTTAATTGCCTTTTGGCACTCTGTCCCTAACTGGCATCAAAGAGTACCAAGAAACACTAAGCCTCTTTTCCCACCATTCATTTCTCTCTCTGAACCCTAGGAGTCTATAGGCTAGTGCTACATAGAACTCTCTCCCAAAGTCATTTTTTTTTTAAGATTTTATTTATTTATTTGACAGAGAGAGAGAGATCACAAGTAGGCAGAGAGGCAGGCAGAGAGAGAGAGGGGGAAGCAGGCTCCCTGCTGAGCAGACAGCCCGATGTGGGGCTCGATCCCAGGACCCCGAGATCATGACCTAAGCTGAAGGCAGAGGCTTAACCCACTGAGCCACCCAGGTGCCCCCAAAGTCATTTTTAATAAGAAAACATTTCAAACACCAAAATCCAACAGGTGGCTTAAAATATTGCAAGATGGTTTGCTGTGTCATGTCACTGGACCCAAAAAAACCCCCCAAAAAACAAAAACCAAAAAACCCAACAAAACCCAGCTCAGACATTTGATTCAAACATTCAAACATAACTCAAACTCTAACCAAGAAATACGGTTCTTGTTAACTGAACCATGTGATTAATATTTGTATTTATACTTTGAGGGTAATTGTTTCTTTATGCCTTGGAATTAGCTGTGTCTGTATCATTTGAACAGCTGAAATACTGTAATGAATACATTTGTGCATAATTACATTCCATGTGTTAATGAGCCCGATTCCCTTTCCGCAACCACACTTCTAAAGTTCCTTTCTGTTTCAGAAAGGTTGTGGAAGAAAACAAACTGAATATGATGGAAGGAAACCAGTATGGTTTGCTGAAAAGTTTGGACTTATGTGACCCTATAAATGAATCTGGAATTTGGTACGAGGCAGTGCGTGCTTCCCAGAGACCTCCCTCACACGCTACACAGGGAGGCAAGAGCCGAGTGCTGAGTTAGGCAACCCAGATGTTAGGGTTCTCATCCTGGCTCCACTCTCACGTTCCATTCTGCTTCAAATCTTGTCCATCAAGAAGTGGGCTATAAATTCCATTAAAAAGGAATTAACATAAAGTATTATGACATTAGACAAATTACTAATCCTTTCTGAGCCTTCAATTCCTCATCTGTAAAACGGGCATAATAGTCTCAAGCTGCGGCCCATGGAAAAGACTACGCTGAGTACCGCACAAAATACTCATGTGTAACACTCTGTAAAACTGTAAAACATTACAGGTGTGTCAGATCGTATTAATACTGTAATCAGAGGCAACTTTGTAATATTAACCAACAGTCCTAGAAACCGGAAGCAAGCTATAATAATCTTTTGCTTACTTGAAGCCATAGATTACCTTTATTTATAAGATCCTGAAAATTTACACCGGAAAAAACAGTTAGAACATCCTCCTCCATATGAACCACATATGCTGTCTGTGAATCACTTTCATCTCTAAATTAGTCGGATCCAAATTAGTAGGGCTTTCCTACAGTGAAATCTGTTTAAGCAAACATCTGCTGGTTCCCTGAAAAGTTTTTTTTTTCCTACAGGTGGCCTTTGAATTTGTGGCCCAAAATCCATGCAAAGGAAATGTAGCCTTTGAGGCTGAAGCCCTTCAAAGAGAGGTAATGTCCTTGAGAGTTTGGGTCTCCTCTCAGCTGGGGAGAAAGCGTGCTAAAAAGGAACTCGGTTCTGGGCCAGGAAGTGCTTGGATTTGATTTGAGTGACAATGACTGCTTCATCACTGTCAGGGCAATACTGATTGAAAGGACACATTTTTCCTGTTATTAATATTCTTAATCAAAGCATAAAAGGAAGCATATGTTTTAGTTGAATCAAGGCCCATTTTCTGTTTTTTCAATTACTCATTTTTCTGGGCAGCAGAAGAGGGGAGGCACAAAACACAATCCCAAAGCCATGAATTCTGCCCTTAGCTTTACCCAAGATTGTCCAAATGACCTTGGGCAAATTGCTAAGAGCAGATACTCGCTTTTGTGTCTGTATCTGTGACAGAGTCAACAATCCCTCCTCAGGCCTGATGAATACTCAGCAAATATTAGACGAGTCATCAAATCATTGAATTGATTCTGGTGTTTCTGTTAGTCTAACCAGCATGAACAGACTCTTTCCCCCACCCCCAAATGACAGGCCAGTCATTTCCTGGCTTTGATCTGAAATTTTATTAAGCTACACTAAAGAAGTGGGCTAAGAAGTTAAGAGTGTCTTACTAATTTTTATAACGCCCCAGGGAAATGGCTTTGTGGACACCTCTAACAAAAAAGGAAAATAAAAATGGAAAAGATTATGCAAAATCACAAAAGTAATGAAAGTGCCCCAATTCTGGGGACCTTTCCTTATGCTGCTGTGGGAGGCAGGAAGCAGCAGAACCAAATACACGGGGTACCTGAGGGATGTGAAGCGCCCCTGACTGACCCTGCAGTTGGTCTTTTTTTTTTTTAAACTTTATTTTTTATTTACTTTTTTTTTTTTTTTTGGAGTTGGCTTTATGAAAACAGAGGATAAAACACAAGAGCGGTGTGATCCTTCACCACAACTCCCAATCCGTGGTGACTTCTTCTCTGTGAATGACACCCCGGCAGCACCACTGGGCTCAGGGCATCAAGGGGCCTGCCGTACCCAGCCAGGCAAGCGTGCCCGTCAGGGACCGATGAAGGAGGGCATTCTCTAGGCATTAGGGTGGTTCCCGCATACAGGGTGGCTGGTCCTCAAAAGATGAGTTTGGGGCCTTTCTGACCTAAAGGCTATAGTGGGGCCCGAACTGGAGACCATAAGTTCATTTTCCCTGGTTAATAAAAAGTCCTGTGACTATAATTAATCACATGTGCATAATGAGATTACACGGACAGACAACTCCCCAGAATTCTCACAAGATTACACAGAATCTGGGACAGGGATAATGGTTTCCCCCAACCCACAAGTCCTAAACCTCTCCCTCCCGGGGAAAGTTTCTCTGAAGCCTAGAAAACCCAAAGAAACAAAAGACGGCAGTGATTCCCATGACACACATTAATGCCAAGGAGGGAGGCACTTGCCTTTTTCGAGCCTACCTTGGCCTGGACGGCGTAAGAAGCCAGGAGCACAGAAGCCTCGGGAGGGCAGTAGATCTTTTCATCTAAAATCTGCTTCTTTACCTAAAAGGGGCAACAAGGGAGACATGACTCTGTGTGCGCGGAAGTGAGCTGTGCATGCTGGTCACGGCAGATGGCTGCAGGGTGTTCTAACGAGGGCTGCCAACCCAGCCTGTTAATGATTTTCTGACAAAGGGTACAATTTTTTTTATTGCTGCAGACAGGTTGGGAGTTCAGGGACTGAGAAGTTATTGGTAAGATGACTATGCGTAAGAAAAACCCTTATCTCTTCTGTTCCTGATCAAATGCTGAAGAGGAAAAACACTTTTCCGTGGTTAAAACAGAGACTGATCTCCAGACTATGACAGAGGGGAGCTATAAATTCGGGAAGTGTGAGGAGCAGCTCTGGTGGAGATTGTGGCCTCGGCCCCTGCTGAGCGCACACAGGAGGAAATGGAGTCTACTTTAAAGTCTTAACATAAGAGAAAAGTCAGCAAGGCCACTGAGTTATGACTGCACGGGGGGAAAAAGTCTATCACATTCAAAATGCCTGCTCTAAGGAAAAAGGAAGCAATAAAGTTTGATTGATTAAACTTTTAAGTACATGTGAGGTCCAGGAAATATAATTCTTAAGCTATAATGTCGAATTAACATATCTTATTGCATTTAACTTCTTAGAATGGGGCAGCGTGTGATTTTCCAGACACGGAGGCAATGAGAGCCTCACCAAGTGGGGGCACAGTGAAATAAACACAACAGGAAAGCCAACTTCCTTGTCACAGATGTCAAGAGTCACCAGATTCCTAAGAGTAGTAAATTTTGCCTTGCTCAGCCACGAAAACACTCCAGTTCTTCAGTATGAGGGAAAATTAAGCCAAAGTCACATGCGGGATGGGCACTGCTTCTAAGGAAGCACTAATAAGAAAACCATCTCTGTAATGCTAGCGTGTTCTGGGGCCTAGGAGATCATTATGTGGTTTTAGTCAAAGCAGTGCAAGTTTCTAACCCCTTGGTTTCTTTTCAAAGGGGGAAAAAATCCACACTACAGAAAAACTGCAAGGGTATCCCTTTGAAGGAAAATGTCAGGGACAGGGATGCATGCATATATGTGTGTATATGTAAATATATATGCACTTGTGCTTTTTTTTTGCAAAATAAATTATTTGGGGGTTTTACTACCTTTAACTTAATATTTACTGGACGTAACAATCTGAGGCTCAAACTAATTATACGAGGACTCTGTGACAACACACATACATCCACTTTGGGAAATCACGTAACTAACGCCCCGGGCAGTCTTCTCTGTTACTGACAGCAGGCACCTTTGGACACATGGGCAGCTCCAGCATCAATCACTACCCATGAAACCGGGGCAGCGCTCTGATCAAGCAGGAAGAACACCAGCAAAACTGACAGGGTTTTCATCCTCCCACTAACCCCCACTCACTGTGCCCCCAACGGCCAACTAGCAGTCTTTGAACCCACAATTACAGAGCTCCGCCTTTCTTCAATTCGGTTGAGCAGTTACTTCTGGAATGCCCACTGGGCACTCGGTGAGCCTTGCCTGTAAGGGGCTTACACTCTAAACAAGGAGCGGGAGAAGAATAAGACATTTATAGACAATGGGCAGCATGAAGCACACACAGTGTTTGAAGTTCTACCATGTGTGGGATTAGCCACATGGAGTTAAACTCCAACTTATTGGCATTGTGAAGTCCTGTCTCAATGACAGGAGATTTCAAACTTTCAGAAGAACTACTTTTTCTAAGACCCTCTCTTTGGACTTCCTTTGTCACTCCTAGGTAGTTTCCACTCAGTGACAAGAAAAGAGAATCCATCCTCAAAGAGGCTTCTGGTCAGGTACCCCTTCGTATGTCACCACGGTTTTGCCATCTCCTCGGACACCCATCCACATCACTCGAGCTTAGCTCTAGCCTGAAGACTCTTCCCCCTCACTACGGAACCAAACGGACTGACTTCCCAGAGGCAGAACATCTTCACACCGCAAAGGCGTCTGTGGTCAACTCTGAGGGGGCCATCCAGGCTGCCCTGGTGACCAGGCCTGGGGGAGTTCTTGCAGAATAAGCAGGACTAGCGTGCACTTGTGTACCTGCAAGAAGAAGAGATGCTGCGTGATCTCCTGAACCAGCTCCTCCTCTGCATTCTCAGGATAAAATTTGGCCAGGAAGTGAAAAGTGACCGGTTCTTCCTTTGAAACATCATGATCCAGTACCTGCGCGGTTACAGAGCGAAGGAAGAACAAGCTATGTTGGCACCTGTTCCTCCCCTGCCACCACCAAAGAGCCTTTTGCAGGGAGCATATAAATATTTTTCCCTCTCTAAATTCATCACATTTCCCAAAGGTTATGATCTTACGGTTTGAACCATTCACAAAGCCATCTATAACAAGGGGGAATGTTCACCTCCCATGGTGTTTCTGAACCAAATTAATCAATATCCCCGAGGGGTGAGTGTAACTGAGATTATTAAGGCACAGATGTTCTCAAGGCCACAGAGATAGTTAAAAACTAGAAATTTTTAGCTCAAAGGTACTGGGCACTATCTTTTAAAGTAGGATGAAGGGTTTTTTAATTTTCTAAACTCGTGGAATCTTCCTTTTTTTTTTTCTTGCTGCCAACCCCCAATGTTTAGGTCCATATTGGGAGGGAGCTTAGAGATGATGGACTTTATCTTTGTGAAATCCCCTAAACATTAAGTGAGCAACAAAAGACAAATGTGTCCGTGGTGGCAACCCTTTGCTTTAAGGAACCTCTAGAGATGCCCTACCAAATACTTGAGCACAGTCAGTAAACCATGCTGCCTTTAATCTTCCAACAATTTCATCCACCCACTGAAAAGCCTGGACCATCTGCTCTCCAGAATGAATTTCATTTCAGGACATAAACATGCCATGTGACAGGCTACAAGGCTCCATTAACATGTGTCATAATTTATTTCCTTTGAGCAGCAGGGTCCACGGCTCCTGATGCCCCCAATCTAATATCCATTTGGCCAACACTCAGGTATGATTTAAAATTTACTTTGCGAAAGAATCACAAAAACATACAGAAAATTCTGCTGTCTTAGATAGGTAGTTCTTTGTGCCCCTACCCAAATTCCAGGGGGCAATGTCCAAGAGACCCACAATAAACCAGATCTAGGACATGCTCACTGACATTGGCACATGGTGGCACTCTGATGTTCATGATCGTTGGCAATTACCATATGAAATTTATAACCAGCGGAGAGTCCAACATGAAGATTCAGATTACTGTGTACATATGGAAACACAATTTGAACATTTGAGCTTAGAGTCAAACTTGTAAAAAAAAAAAAAAACAGGAGGCATTCATTGTCTATCATGCCATGCAGCGGATGATAAAAATTAATTGCAGATGGTACCATTTGGGGTAAGGATTAGACACTGACTTACTTTGAGAGGGGTCTTTTAGCGGCTACTAACAAAACCAAATGGCCCCGTTCCCAAATATCTTCCCGGTTAGGTAGGCAGGTAATTGGGTAAGTGTGCCTCCGTGTGCACATGTGAATCCACACAGACAGCAGCAATTCCCCATTCCCAGGCAATATCCATTTCTAAGCCACATTAGAACTGCTGGGAGCTCCAACTTGTCTTTCAAGCCTTAGAAGCCCCAGAGAATCATAAAGAAAGAATGGATATTCTTTCTTCACCACAGGAACCAGGGCACTCTCTATTCCTTAGATCATGTGAATAACTAAATTGAGTTGGGCCACAGTATTTCTCAAAGACTTAAAAACATTCTCTAATGAACATGAGTCCCAAGCAAACCTTTCAAAGATATAAACTGTTAAAAAAAAAAACAAAACAGGATAATATCATAGTAATTTTTATTCATAAAGCCTGACTAGTGGTTTGATAAATTGAACAGCATAAAGCCAGAAGCTTTAGTGATGATGAGTAAAGAAGCCAGGGAGGGCAACAGTTTCCTCCTGGTTGGTTCTGCAGGCCTAGGAGAGTGTGTGAGGAGCAGAAAGCCTGTGGCATCTCGGGGACCTGTTTTCTACATGACTTACTTCAGGACTTGCCCCTTTCTCTACTGGGTGTCTCTAGTGCCCCATGATGAGCAAAGAAGCTAGGCACATGCTCAGGGAAAAACCAGAGCACACACCAGCCTCACTGGTCTCATCAAGTTCCAGCCCAACCTTCTTGTCCATTTTGAGCCAGGCCACGGTGTCCTTGATCGTGTACTGCAGTCCAAAAAACCAAGTTTCCCGAAGCCCCAGGGTCCGGCATACCAAGTCGAAGAGGTCCTTCCCTTTCCACTTCATCTGGAATGTAACAGACCAAAAGGGAGGGTGTTGTGAGCAAAAGTCATAATCCACTTGAGCAAAAACCTTTTTTCTCTGCGCTCCCTGCTCTCAGCTTCCAAAACATGGGGATGACACTAAGACGAGCACAGCAGAATCCCTCAATAATTTTAAAGCTTCCTACACAAACCATGAGTGGGAAAAATACCAATTAGAGCTTAATGGCTTAATCACTGCAAAGCATACACAATACCTCCCTTGGACAGTTCCTTACAGATCTTAATATCCCCAAAGCTGCTAATTTAGGAAAGCTGGTAAATAAGCACCTTCATTTAGGAGAGTCCAGCCTCTTGAGTTAACCCAGGGAGATGGCTAGCTTCTAGGACATTAACTGATTTTTTTTTTCAATTGATTAATTGATTTTTTTTTCCTTTTAAAATCATGACACTGTCCTTTGATAAAAAGCTACCAGGTTTTTTGTTTTGCTTTAAAGACTAGACTTCCTGCAAGTTTTTTTTAAAAAGCAACAGAGGAGAGGAAACGGTAACTGAAGTCCTAAATCATGTAAAAAAAAAGAACCATTAGCGACCAGTCAGCCAGACCACAGGTCTCTCCTAACCCAATGCAGAACTGAGGCTAAAGGGGAGGGGACTCAACCACAGTCACACAGAGCAATTTCAGACTCTTGGTATTTAAACTTGGGGATGAAGAGACACCAATATACTGCAGCAAGCTTACCCCACAGCTTCACTTTCAAAAGGACCTAAAGCAAGGCTGTTAAACCCTTTTCTCAGCTTGAAGCTGAGAAAATGGAAAAGCAAGTTCAACATCTCAATAAGAGGAAAATGCCCAGCCGTCTTGGTAAATGTTGCCACCTTGTGGTTTCCAAGTTCAATCACGCAGGATGTTCCCACACTAGCCCCAGGCTCGCCCCTGGGCCCCCAGCTCCATTCCCACCCCCTCCATCTGGTGGACATTCAGATATACACCGGGTGCAGCTGTGAGCACATGAGACACATCCCAGAGATGGAGGTCACAGTAAGAATAATTTGGGGATTCAAATGCAAAGTCGCCAGACACCGGAAGGGCAAGACCACTCAGGTGCAGAAGCATCTGTCCTTCTGCCCTCATTAGAAATCTCCCAATGTCCTGGCACACGGAAGATGCATAATGAAAAGGACTGGGAGAAAATCTAGGGGTTAGAGACAGGTTATAAAAGCAAAAGGAATAAGTAAGTTAGACCTCTGATACCGGATTGACTTTTGCTAAAACCTGATTGTACAGAGGATTTTTCAAGTAGACCTTCTATTTTTAATATATATGAATGAACAGTGTGTTCTCTATGAGGTACTCAACAGGAAAGCCCATCCCTTCTCTGTGTTTACAAAGAGCAAAGTAGCAAGCTAGATGGAAGGGCACCAAAACCGCAGCAGACAAGTGGCTGAGATAATGAATTGGCTTTTGTCCTTCACTGGGGCCATTTCTACTGTCTGCCCTTCCAGCTCCGCCCCATCAGCTCTCCGTGACTTCAGTGAGGCCCCTGGAACACTACAAAGGTTGAGGTCATTAGAAATGATTTTGAGTAGAATAAAATAAAATGACAAGTTCTATGTTAAAAAAAAAAAAAAAAGATGATCTCCTGCAAGGCTTATTACTAAATGTTGGCACACCCATTTCTCCAGTCTGATAACAGCACAAAGGGTTTTTTAATTCACGGCAGGTTTTAATTCCTACAGGCAGACTTCACTGAAGAAATGTTACTTTGGAAAACTAGAAGCTTCAGGATGCTGATTATCCTCTTGTCTCTATTTTAAGCCAGTACATAGTACATAAATTATAAATGACTACCTTTCTAGAAGATAATGTAACACTAAAGAACAGACATTAACTTGGAGAAGTTGAACACCCAAGGGCCAGGAAGCTCATGGCGTCGATTCCCAGGCTGCCATAACTCACAGCCACAGTGGGGCCCAAGCTTAGCCACGGAGGGGCCATCAGCAAGCAGGACCAGCACTGCATCTCAACCAAGGCTGTGAAGAGGATGAGTGAGTGAATTTCTTGACTTTGGGGGAGTTTAAATTCTCAAGCATAGTATGGTATGACCGCAGTTTTCCTGTATTCCTTTCTACTTCTTTGTTTTTATTTTTTTATTTTATTTTATTTTTTTTAAGATTTTATTTATTCATTTGACAGACAGAGATCACAAGTAGACGGAGAGTCAGGCAGAGAGAGAGAGGGAAGCAAGCAGGCTTCCTGCCGAGCAGAGAGCCCGATGCGGGACTCGATTCCAGGACCCCGAGATCACGACCCGAGCTGAAGGCAGCGGCTTAACCCACTGAGCCACCCAGGCGCCCTACTTCTTTGTTTTTAAAATGCAAAACAATCCCTGTCAAATGCAAACAGACAATGTCTTTGTTCTCAAGAAGCTTCCAATAGTGTGTGTGTGTGTGTGTGTGTGTGTGTGTGTGTGTGGAATTCTCCCACAAATTCAGAATGCCCTATTTAGATTCTTAACTTTGACTCTAAGGATCACAGAATGCCAGAGTCAGATGTGAGCCAGAGTAATTACCTACTGTTAGACCCTTCCCTTTCATTATAAATAAGGAAACTGAGTCACAGGTTCTTTGGCAGCTTTCTGAGTCAGACACTGGTCTTCTCCCTGGTGATCTAAGGTGGGCAACCCCTCAGTTCCTCGGTGGCCTCTCTGCCTGCTCTGAGGGCTTCCATTTGTCTGGCTCTCCACCAGCACTCCCCAACCACCTTTTCCAGTAAGAAACTCATGTCGTAAACTCTTCTCCTGCCCTGAAACCAAACCCATTCTTGGAAGAGCCATATACTGCTTCTTTACGGCTCAATATGAATTAAAGCCTCGGCTATCTCTTACTCTTTCAATAAGCACCACAGAGCCCGTCCTCTGTGCCCAGCAATGCCAGACATGGAGAATGCAAAATGGTGGACTCATGGTCCCTGTGGGAGACACAAGGGAAGGGCTTAAGTAAGAAAAGGTGTTAGAGAACAAGTGAGAGCTAGACGAAGGAGGGAAAGAAAGAACTCTAAAAAAGAAAACCATGATATCTACAGTGAAATCCAAGTCATCTGTAGAGCTGAGACAGACAGCCTGAACTCAAGATGGGGTGTGGTGGGAATTCGGTGCCATGTGGGGCCAGGTGGCTCGCCATGGAGTCCTTGAAGACTCTTGGGAAGAGGGGTGATGGGAATCAGATCAGCATTCTGGAATGTGCTTCCATCAACAAGGCAGAGAACGGGTTGGAGGAAAGGAGCCTAGAATCAAGAAAAGAAAAAACAGAGGCCAACTCTGCCTGGATGAAGGAAGTGGGAGAGAGGGAAGACAGACTGAGCACTGGAAAGGAGGGAGTCGCAGAGCTGATTCCTGAGTGCCAGTGGGACTGAGGGAACAAGAATGACGACTGACACCTGCATTTCTGGCTTGAGCATGAGAGATGGCAAAGAGGAGGAACAGCACGTTTCAGGGGGAATAGATGAGCAACCAAGTGTCAGACAGGATAAGTTAAAGTGCTGGAGGAAACCAGGTAGCAATGTGCTAAATACATTTGATTCTAACTCTTATTAGCTCTATTTATAAAAGAAGATGCTCTATCATTAAGTAATTATGAAGTTTTTCTTTTGGGTTAAATCTAACCTCCAACATGTTGTGTACCTACATGAGGTTCTACTTTTCAACATGCCCTTCCCCAAGTGTATGAGGTTTGCTTAGTCCTCCTAATTTGGGCTTCTCCTTCTTCACAAACAAGAACCACTGGTCACAGTTGCTCTAGGTGGTTCCCATGACACTCTGTGAAGGGAGGTCCTAGGTTGTGAATGGGCTTCTCTGGTGCCAGCTGACTCACCAGAATGTGACCGTGCCTGTCTTTACAGTTTTATCAGCGACCCCCTGCACTGTACCGATGCTGTAACATGATCTGAATGTCTCCCAAGATTGCAGGCGCCTCAGAGCAAGAGTGACATCGGTCATCCTCTGTTGCCCACAGCACCTAGCTGACTTTGTACATACAAGACACAGCAAACAATGACCATCCAACAGAAGACTTGTCTAATTCAAAAACCCAAAGCTCAAAAACTTAAAGCAAAAATTAGCCCCCATAAGGGACACCTGGGTGACTTAGTCGGTTAGGTGTCCAATTCTTGATTTCGGCTCAGGTCTTGATCCCAAGGTCATGAGACTGAGCCCCACATTGGGCTCCATGCTGGGCATGAACCTGCTGAGAATTCTCTCTCTCCCTCTCCCTTTGCCCCTCCCCGGTTCCCCTCCCTCCCAGCTCACACACGCTCTAGCCCTCTCTCAAAAAAATAATCTGGGGCACCTGAGTGGCTCAGTAGGTAAAGCATCACCTTTGGCTCAGGTCATGATCCCAGGGTCCTGGGATCAAGCCGCACAATGGGCTCCCTGCTCAGTGGGAAGCCTCCCTCTCCCTCTGCTCTTCCCCCTGCTTCTGCTCTCTCTCTGTCAAATAAAGAAAATCCTTTTTTTAAAAAAGGATTTTTTAAAAATCCTTCAAGAAATACTTGGTGAACACAGATTGTGTCTAAGCACCACCCAAGGTACAGGAGATAGAGAAAAAAGACAGTCTCTGCTCTTACAGAATAGGACTAGGGCATGAGTCAATCAGGAACAGATAATCACCTCCCTCACCCTACACACAATAGTCAACTCCAGTTATGAGTGCCACACAGGGACCCTCAGAGGTGTAGGGACCCCTAAGAAAGAACCCTCTATCCTGGAGGGGTGGGAAATGGTATCTAAATCAACTATCACGGTAGGAGAGAAGTGTCAAGTGAACACTGGGCTTGGGGAAGGAGCGAGCCGGGTAGTGTGTTCCAGGCACAGGGAATAGCATATGCAAAAGTCTAGGGGCAAAAAGCTCAGATGGGGGCACCTGGCTGGCTCAGTCAGTGGAGCATGTGACTCTTAATCTCAGGGTCGTGAGTTCTAGCCCCACATTGGGTGTAGAGATCACCTAAAAGAACTTAAAAAAAAAGTG